TGCCCTTAATTTGTAGCAGGTGCTTTTTTAAGTGCTTTCCAGATACTGGCACACCCTCATTGGTACTTACTCACCTACCCCCGAGGAAGCTGAGGCACACAGGGGTTGAATGAGTCCCAAGCTTGCACAGCCAGTAAGAGAAGGTCCGGCTCTGGAGTCTTAACCGCATCAGTGTTCTTGGCTGAAATAACAGCAAGAGCTAACATTTCCTAGAAGCCCGGCACACACCTCCATGGCCCCTCAGGCGGTCATCCCCACTGTGCAGATGAAGTAAGGTGCCGAGGGGTCACACAAAGTGACAGGGCCAGGCTTACCCCCAACAATCTCTGCCCGACCCTTGTGCTCATGCACGCTACCATTTTGCCTACAGAGTCAAGAGTAGCTGGCATCCCACAGGATGATTTTTTTTTAACATTTACTAGTATCTATTCTTTCTCCAGTGAGAGGCTACATAAGATTTCAAGGAAAGAAACTGAAAACCCTTTTTCATGAAAGGGTATGGAGCGCACATCCCAGCAGTTGTCCCCGGCGTGCTCCCCCCCTTCTCCGGAGATGCTCGTGAGTGCCTCCTTCCAGTGCTCACAGCTGGCCTGTCTAGAGGCCACCTGTGGGGCTTTCACTGCACTGGGCACCCTCAGCAGTTAGACGACCTGCTCCAGAATGATGCCTCCTTTTATTGGTGGTGGTCCAGTAGCCGAATGATCTAATCCCCCCAACCTTCTAACCTGCCTCTCCCTCCTCCTCCTGCTTTTTAATTGGAACCATTGGCTCCCAGCAGTGAGAATGAAAATAAATGAGCTGTGAATGAATTGAATCTGCCCCCACCCACCCCCCAACTCTCCACCCCTGAAATTGCAGGTTAATAATAAGCATTCAGCCGCCATGTGCTTACCTCCCCTTATTAAAGGAACAGGCCCTTGGTAGAGACTGGGGAGATATATCTGGATGGCAAACTCAGTCTCCAGTTGAAGTGGTCTTGGAATGAAGATGTAGCCATTAGCATAACCTTGCTTCTCCTTCTAGCAGAGCTGGTCTCAGCTGGATCTGTGCACCTCACACAGGGCCCTGGAGAAATGCTTGAGTTGTTACCCTTGGAGGTTTTAAAACAAGGTACCCCTTACCACTTGCCCTAAGGGTCTGTGTGAAATCCCTCAAGCTGCCCTGCTTCCTGGGGGTTGGAAGGCTGTGCTGTCCTTGATGCTGCTGGGTTAGGCTGTCTGAAGAATGCCTCTTTGGATGGTCGTGGTCACAGTCCCCGAGGCGGGTCTTGGACAGATGTCCCTGATCTTTCCACACTCTGCTAAGTTAGGAGATACTGGCACCAGCAGCTCTCATCCTCCTGACAGCACCTGGGTGTCCCCCTCAGTCTTGTCCATCCCAGGCCACAGTGCCGCCTCTCAGAGTGGTACATCCCAAGGGGACCACCGGGGTCACAGGGTATTCACATACTAAGAATTTGAGGGCAGGTAGGCAAAATAAATAGTGAAGCATATCTGTTTATATGGTATAAACAACTTTATAACAATGAAGGAAATAAAATTGTTTCCCAGATTCCCCCAGCCAAATATGTCTATTTTTATTATCTCTGTTTCCTTCTAGTCTTTCTCCAGTTGTATAAACATTTTTTTCCAGAGGTAGTCATAGTGTAGGTAGCATTTTTGTTGTGATCTTTCATTTAACATTTCATACGATGTCTTTCTATGCTCCTACATAGTTTTATAATTATACTTCTAATGGCTACATTATGTTGTATCATTATACTTTATGCCCCATTGTTGAATATTTAAATTGTTTTCACTACTTCTACAAAATATGCTAAATGTACATACTTTCACATACGCTTTTTTCTTTCTTTGATCTTATTGCCATCAGAAATCATATGAATTTGGGTTAATGAGTATGAATATTTTCATGGCTTTTGATACATAAAGCCAGTTTTCTTTACATTGCTGCCCGTAACACATAACCAGGTCTATTTTAAATCAAAGCCTTATTGACGATAGGAGTCATATCTGAAGTACTTTGCTAATTTAATGGGAACGAAATGCTTCGTTGGTTTTAACTGATACTTCTTTGATTGCTGTTGAGGTGAAACTTTCCCCCTATTTGTTTAATCGTGTTGCCTCTTATGAAAATTGTCTGTTTGCGTTCTTTGCTTACCTGCTGGAGACTTGGTATTTTTCCTACAGATTTACATAAATAACTGATACCTCCCCAGGGCCACTCAAATTAATGCTGTAAGTTTAAACATGGTAACAGAAAAATCTCTGCAAATATAGATTTAATATGTACTACATAAACATATGCCAAAAATAGTAATAAATTTTGTAGTGCTTATTAGGTGCTGGCACGATTCTAAGTATTTTACCCAGCTCTGTGAAACATGGATTACTTTATTCCCATTTTATAGATGGAGAAGCTGAGGCAAAAGAGGTTGAGAAACCTGTCCAAGCCCAACCCAGCTGGTAACCCAGAATTCAGACCCAGGCAGTCTGGCTCCCACCCTCAACCTCTTGTTAATTAGGGGTGAGAATCAGGGAAGGAGGAAGCAGGGAAGGACTGTCCTGGGGAGTGAATCAAATATATGCACGCAGGAGCATAGATTCATGAGGTGTTGGAAACAGTATATTGAAGCCTCTTGCTCCTCTGAACTAATTAATTGCTCCCTATTTTCAAATGAATGGAGAAGCGAGCAAATGTAAGAAGTGTAAGAACTATTATGTAGCAAGAAACACACCTTGTTGCTTTAGGACCTTTTGAAGTTGTGTGTGTGTGTGCACGTGCATTTTTCCAACTGTGTACCCCAGCAGGGGCTTGTCCAGTGATACTTACGCCCCTGCCCTTTCTCCTGTCAGTTTGTGCTGTAAAAAAAAACACTTCCTGCTTGTGATTTGGTAGGTGCATTTTGGCCAGTGGTTCTTAGATCATAGAAACCTATTTTATTGGTTTTAGGTGGACTGAATGGATTTCATTTTAGGGTGTTTCCAACTTGTATGCTGAATAATGAATTTTAACCATTTTGGGTGCTAAAGTAGTATAAGCATTTAGATCATTTGCTCTGTTGGATGAGGAAATAAACATAGAGGGACAGACAGGCAGGATGCTTTTATTAGTGGGGCTTTAGTGACTTAAAACGTTTTAAATGAAAACAACTGAATTCTGGCCAGAAAAATAGTGTGAGAAAATCTATAGAAGGCTATTTGCTCCATTGCTCCCTCCCCACCCTGACCACACCTCATCCATCCACCAGGCTTGAGATTTGTCTTTACGTGGAAAACGTGCTGATAAAATTATGATCACAAACAAAGCAAACATCACACTGTGCCCTGATTCAGTTTTCACAGGTATACCAGGCACACTGGTGACTTTCCGCTGTAATCTGAATGAGTTGTGCTGAGCTGATATATTTTGAATTACAGCCTTTTGATGTCTTCTCTATGACAAGAATAATTTATCTCAGCACTGTCAGTTTGGGGTTTCAGGTTAGTGTGGCAGATTTTGGCGAACTCTTTGAACTGGTGCCATCTTCAGTATCTTTCTGAGTGAAATACGGAGTTGTGAAATCCTGGTAGACTTCAGGTAAGAAGGGAGGACTAGCAGAAGTGAGTGTGGAGAGGAACGAAATAGAGGTACTTAGGTTGCCTGAAAGGACTTCAGTTCCCATCAAGTTCAACAAGTCAACATTGAATCTAAGAATTTTAGGGGGCACACTGCCATGAGGAATCCGGGCTCTGGGGATGGGAGTCAGTTAGACATATTTTCCTGTTGAGTTCCTTTCAGGAGTCTAAGAAATCAGTTCACCTTGCACAGTTCAAGCCACCAGAGAGAATGGGTTGGTTATTTATCAAAGGCAGCTTCATTCCTAAAGTTGGATCTTTGCTGAGTCAGCAGCGTGTTTCGAAAGGGGGACACACCTTTTCTCAACAGGTGTTGCCGGCCGTGGTCGTAGAACCTCCCAACAGGGCTGATTAGGAGGCTCGCCGGTGAGGCCAAAGGCCACTGCGGACCTATTTGTTGCCACTGGTTGGAAGCAGGTCTGTGCCATTCCTGGCCCGTGGAGCAAGGGCTGGATTTTGGTTGTGCCCTGTGCTGGGTGCTTTTGTGCACTACCTAGTCTACACCTGTATGCTGCGGCTTGGAAAAGACCCAGCAGTAACGCAGCACGATAAAGGGGCAAGATGACCCAGTTTGGATCAGTTTCACTGCTTTTAACGTAGTTACTTACTGGTAATGTACATTTTATTTAACTTCAGCTTTCCAGCCTACCTGTTTTGGGGCGCATCTCTGTCTCCTCACTGAGCCGCAGACACACCAGGCTCATTCTTGTCTAATGCATCAGCAAATAGTAGCTGCTCTTTTCTTTTCACCTGGCTGTCTGCAGCTGATCCCTCGGGTCTCAGACCTTGCTTCTCTCAGGAAGTCTACCCTGAACTCCCCAGGCTGAAGGTACCTGTTAGGTTCCCTTTCTTGAACTCCCTGACAGTAGCACTTAATACTCTACACTATTGTCCTTCCTGTTTTCTTGTCTGCATATCTTCATTAGCATAGAAACTTCTTGAGGCAAGAAATACTCTTGTCCTGTTCATAGCTGTATTCCAAAGATGGAGCATAATACCTTGCACTCAATAAACATTTACTGAAGAACAAATTCATAAATGCATGTGTACAGACCCTTGTCGGCCGATGGACTCTGAATATTTGCGTTGGCTCGGTTTTACTGATTGTGATAGGTTTTGCTGTTGATTTAGTGGTGTCACCTCACAAATGTGAAAGGCAAATCCTTGGTGAGATGCTGCTGGGGGCTGTGTGGTGTTTCTCAGGAGCCTCCTCTCTCTCCATGGGCTGGTTGACTGAGGAGAGTCCGCCGGGATGAAAGCATTGGAGGGTCCCGTGTCACGTGACTCACTCAGACGATGACTCGAGAGCCAGAGAGTGATCTGGCTTTGGAACAACGGGCCTAGTCGTAAAGCACACTAATCTTCCTCTCTTGCCTCCTCCAGCACTGGAAGGCGCCGCGCAGCGAGGAGTACGAAGCAGAAGGTAGGGACTGCCCGGGAAGGACCCGCCTCCTGACCTCTTAGCTGTCTTCCTAACAGCCTTGCACGTGGGAGGCCAGCTCAGAAGTAACCTTAAGAACAACAGCAACAAAACATTCATTGCCGATCGATAGCTCACGGTTTTAAAATCCTAGCATTTAACATCATGCAAGATATGGCAACTAAGATGTAAGATTTCACTTACAGGTTAATTACTCTCTTATGTAGATTTTCACGTTAATCTATGAACAGGCCTAAACTAAATTTTAAATTACTATTAAAATGCATCCCTTGACAAGTTTGATAATAGAATTTAAGCATCAAACCATATTGACTTTTTGGCCAGCAGGTGGCACTGTGGTTCAGCTGACAAAAACCTCAGCCCGCTTCACAGCCTACCCTGGGTTTAACTCTACTTAAGTGTAACTACATGTTCTCTACGTCTCTATCCTGTAAAAGCACAGCAGTAACGGACTTGATTTCTTCCATAAATAGTAGGGGTAGCACTGACTGCTCTTCTCAGTCCTCCAAGGTTCTTCGAGGCACACAAAATTGTGCCAGTGATCAGCTCATGTTTAAGTAATGACTTCACAGAATCTCTAATATGTTAAGTGGAAATTTTAACGAGAAGTGAGAACTTCTTTTCTTTTTCTTTTTAATAGAAGATAAATACGTTTTGATTTTTAAATAAGTAGTTTGATCCTTAAATCTTCAAATAGAACCTGTCTTTAATATACAGATGATTAGTAACTGGCAGCTTGCAGCCATTTATTCTTCCACATTGCGCTGCTTGTAGGTCGAAATATTTGTATGTGTAAAGATTTGCAGACAGGCTAATCTTGAGACTTTGATAATAATTTTATGATATTTATCAGGAAATTATTTCCTTTTCAGTGAAAGCAGTTCTAGTGCTTAAACTAGAAAGAAAGTGGAGATGATAAAGTCTGGTAGCTGTAGTTGAGGTGGGGCATGTAAAGCTCTTTAGAGTGGCTCTCAACCAGCTTTCTCTTCCAATCACACCAAAACCTGAGCCTGTGCATGTTTTTATTTGGAATGAAACAAGCCTAGGACCTTGGCCTGACTGCACAGGAGATGCTGGTTCTTACACAGGTATGACTGCTGGTGAACAAAAAAGTGCCTGTTGGCCCTGGGTGCACCCTAAGAACCAGGGGTTCCATGTCATTGAACTTCAAGATCAAATCAAATCAAAATCAAATCAGCATTTATAGTCTTTTTCCTGTAGCATTTATTTTCCAAAACACATTTTTCTTTGCGAATAGGCTCTCTCTCTTTGCAATTCCTTTAGGGACAACACAATATATGCTTTTATTTTAGGCCAGTTAAGATTTTGGAACCCAGATGATTTGAATGCCTCCCAGAGTGGGTCTTCCCCTCCCCAAGACTGGATAGAAGAGAAACTGCAGGAGGTTTGTGAAGACTTGGGGATCACCCGCGATGGTCACCTAAACCGAAAGAAGCTAGTCTCCATCTGCGAGCAGTATGGTTTGCAGAATGTCGATGGAGAGGTAAGCTTTGCATAGTATTTTTATTCAGGAATAATAATCACGGTAAAAGCTAAATTGGCCACAGGCTAGAAACAGCCATATTTTGGTTTCCTGCAGCATGTTACAGAAACTCCTTTCTCTTTTTTTTTTTCCTGGGAAGTCAGCCATGAAGATTCTTTCCCCGAGGAGCTCATGTTGTGTTGTGGAAAAGAAAAAACTGACAATAGCTGACATTTACTGAACCCACACTGTGCCCCTCACTGTGCTAAGCACATTACCCCACATTATTACCAGACACGGGCTCAGTGTAGCCATGATGTCAGTATATTTGTAGATGCAGCGTTCACAGAGCAAAAGCTGGGAAAGGTGTGGAGGAAGGATTACGCAGGGAGTTTAGGAGGTTTGAGTTGGGGTAATATTTTGAAGGCCAGGGTGATAAGCTTAGTTTTTTGGAGAGAAGGTCTCCATATCATCTCTGGTGTCTTCAGCAGATGAAGTAATATATAGGAAAGACTTCCTTGCTGAGGGTGGTCTGAAGCTGCTTTTATGGGGTATACACTGGTATAGAGAGAGCCCTGGATTAGGAGACCAGCCAGGAGCCATCACACTCATCTGGTCATGAGGAAATGGAAAAGGGTAGGTTGGTGGTTTTGAAAATATACAATAGAAGAGTCTTGAAGGAGTCCCCAAAAGACTCTTGCTTGGCAAAATTCTTAGCTTCACGTTTCCTGAAAAATTGAGGGGAGTGGCAGGACTGGGTGAATGAACAACCATGAAATGTAAGCCTGTACGTAATTCCAACATCTGTCTTTCACAGAGCTGAAAATAAGGATGGGGGGGTCACTTAGAGGTTAGGGCTACAGTTGTAGCTTTGGGAATCTTTGATTATTATGCTATTTGAAACCATGTTTTCTGCTTGCTCAGGGGATAAACGGTATTATTCTCGTAAACCAGAAAGATTTATTATCAAAAGCTTCTACATAGCCTCACTTGCAGGAAAGTTCTTTCCCTCCTTCTCCCTTATATATGTGACACACCCTCTGACTACCTTTTAATGGCTCGGTGGTCATTTATTTTCCAGTGGTGGTTGTTGAGTCATAAAATTAAATTCATCCTCCTAAATTATAAACCAGTGCAGTATGCAGAACCTCGGGTTGTTTTTGCCAAGAAATATTGCACAAACTTGGATTATTTATCTAAGGACAATTCTTGGAATAAACTGTAGCCGTTTGTGGGGAGTGGAATTTTCTTCTGTGGTGGAGTTTCCAGACCTGGGAATAGAAGCAGCACATTTGTCTCCCTCCGATCTGACGAAGAGTAAAGGATTGCTTATTGAACGCAGCTTTTACTTGGTGTTTTTCCTCCCCTCTCAAATCATGAAATACCATAGTCCTCTGTATTACTAGCTCGAGACCACAGCGGAGCTGCAAGTTCAAGATGATCTCATCAACATACAGCTTGGAATCCTGGAATCATACAACTGAAAGCAGCTTTAGATTTAGTCACCCCTCTTTTTATAGATGAAGGAAGTAAAGTCACTGCTGCTTGTTGCCATCACCAGGAAAGGAAACTGGATTCACTGTCTTTTGCCTGAAACCAGTTCTCGGCTTTCTAGAAGCAATGACAACCGTAGGGCAGGGACGGCACACTCTCATCCTAGATGCCAAATATGACCCTAAGGCTGCTTGGCCTACCTAATGTTTAAAAACTAAACCTTTTGCTCTACTTTTTTAAAAACGGGAGATTTTTCTAAAAATCATAAGATTTGGCTCCATTTTGCTGGCAATGGGAAGTGGCTAGCCCCCTTGGACAGGGCATGCACTCGTGTGTGCAGTTAAAAGGTACTACTTTACTGCTTTAAAAGACACGACGTTGCAGTGTCTCAAGACCATCCTGCCTCATTTATTTACTTCACCTCCCTGGCCCCTCTGGGTGTTTGGGTTTGTGATCCCTACACCAGTGCGCTATTTTCCAGCTTACACGTTGGGAAATCAACCATCTAAATATCCGGCTGGTCTTGGGGAGTAAGGATGTCCTCAGGGTTCTAGATTTGGCTCCTGCACAGGCTGCAGGGGGTGCCCAGTTGCTCATTTAACCTTCATTCTTTCCAGCCTAGCCTCTGCCCATCTACCCTCTTCAGAGTCCACATCCTTTTATTCACCACTTGCCCACTTGCCCTTGTGCAGTAACTGGCAGGACCCTCTTGCTCCACCACGTTGGATCAGGTGATAGGTGTTCAGGCAGCCGGGAAGCTGTGCATTGACTTGGCCAAAGTCAGAAGGCTGACCAGTGTGGAGCAAAGGTTAGCGCCAAAATATGCCAGTTAACTTCAGTCAGCACACTTGGGATTTACTGTGACTTCTGGTTGGACAGTCCTGAAAGCCTGGTCCTCTGAGAAAGTGTTCTTCTGTTTGATGAGAATGAGACAGAGAAGCTAAGGGAGCTCGGTAACCTCAGAATTTTGCCCAAAATACCTTTCCATCTGTCTCCCCATATGACTCTCTATTAGGAACTGCTGCTTCTTCCAAAGATTTACACTCTTTAGCATGGTTTTCTTGTTTCAGAGTCCTCTCCAGAGGAAGTGGTGTAAAAGGAATAGAGACAGATGTTTCCTATTGGATATGAATTGGACAAAAAGCACTCAAGATAAAGAAATGCCTCAAGCACTTAGATGAAGGATAAAATCAACAATTACGAGATCACAGGAATCCTAGCAATAGTCCAGACTTATGAAATGGATTTTGAAAATTCGAGGATTTGTTACAAAGAGGCCTTTGTTAGAATGGACCCAATTGTAGGCTCTAAAGCAACAAGAGTAAGTTTGTTGCTTATGCTATTCTTTGCTACTCAGCAAACTGGGCATCACTTGAGAGCTTGTTAGAAATGCAGAATCTCAGGCTCCACCCCAGATTTCACTATATCAGAGCCTGCATTTTAACAGGATGATTTGTTTCGTACATTGGGGGCGTGTTCTTACAGAAAAATTTTAGCCCCCAAAATAAAGAGGAATCTGTGAGGATGCTTTGTGGTGTCTGTGATTCATGCTGCTCTATTCCCTTTTCCATTCCTCTGTTGAGCTAGGGAACAAACCACCTCCTAGGCAAGCCCTGGAGGGGACTGTAGTCTAGTCTCCCCTTCCCCAGTTATATGATAAGGACTACTTGACTACTATCAGAGGGTACAAAGTAGTCAGGCAAAATTCTCTTCACATCTCTTGGAACCCTTCTATTGCACACACATGAAATCCTTCCTCTCCAGGCTTCATTTCTCCTGTGCTAAAGCATTAAAAGGAGTAAAAACCCCAAACACACTGTGTTGTTCCAAGTAATGTTCTAAACCTCAAGCCGTGGGTTTCAGACCCGAACTCTTAGATCACTGCAGTCTGGCCCAGACCCACTTCTGCTGTGCTAACACGCCAATTTCCAAAATTCAGTGTAAGCAAAATATCATGTGGCTTCACCACAATTTAATGGCTTAATGAATGTCCAGCTATTTTCTGTTGTTACAACACTGCGAAGCTCTAGCTTTATATTTTTAAGCACTTTTTTAATTCGCAAGAATAACGTGTAGGAATGTGAAGGATGACCTGTTTTAAGAGTATACACAAAAGAGGAAACAGTAAATTGCTAAATTGCATACAATTATGAAGATGCTGAAAATGAACTTTCATGTAGTTTGTATGAGGGGAAAGGACATGTTATTAGAAAGGAAAATAAATGCAATGAAATGAGAACAAAGGGATATGTTTTATTTCTGGAGTCCTGGGATCAAGAGTGGTGCCAATTTGTATTGGCCGGAAGTGTACTTTGGGCCTTGTGGGTTTTTTAGGGGGTGGGGAGGGGATAATTAAGTTTATTTATTTCTTTTTATTTTTAGAGGAGATACTGGGGATGGAACCCAGGACCTCATGCATGCTAAGCATGCACTCTAACACTTGAGCTATACCCTCCCCACCCTGGCCTTGTGTTTTTTTGAATGAAATAGTTAAAATATATGGTTTTCCTTTTCTAGATGTTTGAAGAAGTCTTCCATAATCTTGATCCTGATGGTACAATGAGTGTAGAAGATTTTTTCTATGGCTTGTTCAAAAATGGAAAATCCCTTACACAGTCAGCATCTACCCCATATAGACAATTGAAAAGGCACCTCTCCATGCAGGTAAGAAATAAGTAGGAAGTGGTTTCTCTGTGAGTAGAAGTTAAAATTCATTGAAATAATTTCTTTTTCTTCCTCTTTTTTTTAAATGAAGTATATAGTCAGTTTACAATGTTGTGTCAGTTTCCGGTATACAGCACAATGCTTCAGTCATATAGGAACATACATATATTTGTTTTCATATTCTTTTTCACCATAGGTGACTACAAGATATTGAATATAGTTCCCTGTGCTATACAGTATAAAATTTGCTGTTTATCTATTTTATGTATATTAGTTAGTATCTGTAAATCTAGAACTCTCAGTTTATCCCTTCCCACCCCCCTGAATAATTTCTAATGAATTAGCCTGCTGTCTGAAGAAGAATACTAAGGAGAAAGAAGCAAAAGAAGAGTAGTGAGGAAAGACTAAACCATTGCAGAAGGAAAAGCTGGGTTTTAAGAAATGACCATAAATTATAGAGTGGGAAGACCACGACTTATGCCCTTAATGTTAGCTGTGGGTCAGAAGAACCCTGGTGCTAAGTAGAGACACATCTCATCCATATGAAGGAACTCTGCCAGGTCAACCGTTGGGAAGCTTTGCATTCTTGACTCACTTAGGAAAGGGAGATCAAAGGGGCTGCGGGACTTTTTATTCTACCAGTATAAATTATAGAAACATGCCTTCTGCTCCTTGTGGTCTGGACTGACCAGTTTCGGTCTTGACCAACATCATCTTGAATGCCTCAGCTCGCTCAAGTCTCTTTCTTCTTCCAGTCTTTCGATGAGAGTGGTCGACGGACCACAGCCCCATCTGCGATGACAGGCTCCATCGGCTTTCGGGTCTTCTCCTGCCTGGATGATGGGATGGGCTATGCATCAGTGGAGAGAATCCTTGACACCTGGCAGGAAGAGGGCATTGAGAACAGCCAGGAGATCCTGAAGGTGTGTTGGCTGAAATGGGAGAAAAATGACAAATTGGGGAAGGGTTGAAAAATTCCATGTTTTTTTTGAAACTGTGATTTGATTTGATTTCTCCTTAATGATTCTTCTAGTCACACGATTTCAGAGAGAAGAGGTAACTTTTCCTACCCTCTTTAAACAGGAGTGTTGGTTACTTCTTTCTATGTTTTTAACCCCTAAATTATTGAGAAGAGATTTCTTAACTGATCTCTGGTCATAAAGATTAGCGTTTCACCATTGTGTTATTTACAGTGCCAGATAGTTTAAAAAGAAAAAAACCATGCAAATAATCATGTTATGTTTTCCTTAGAGAGAGCTTAGTTATGCTCTGGATTGAATATTGTTCCTAAGCAATCACTCAAGAAATGATTACAGCCAGCTTCTAGACTATAAAGTCAGCTCTCTGAGTCTGTATAACTTTGACAATTTCTGCTTTCAGAGGATAGAACTTGTGACTGTTGAACTTGTTCTGATTTCTAGGCCTTGGATTTCAGCCTTGATGGAAATGTCAATTTGACAGAATTGACACTGGCTCTTGAAAATGAGCTTTTGGTGACGAAGAACAGCATTCACCAGGCGGCTCTGGCCAGCTTTAGGGCTGAGATCCGGCATCTGCTGTGAGTTGCGCAGAAGGTTCACCTGCTCCATTCCCTTTCCTGCTTGTCCAGCGAGTCAGTCACATTCTGTGACATAGATTCTTCCATTCTGTGCACAAATATGGCTAATCTCCTCTTATCTCACTTCTGTGAAAATGAGGAAGAGCTGAGATTTGCGTGGAGGCTTCTGAAGAGGGCCGTGGAATGTCTCTGTGGTTTGGAAGGGTTTGGGTTGTCTTGGTTTTGTTTCGTATTGAAGCAAGCCAGATGAGAGCTTTTTTGGGTCTGCCTGTTGCTTAGAAACAGCTTCCCTCAGACTTAGTTTATTTCTGACTCTAGAGAGCGAGTTGATCAAGTGGTCAGAGAAAAAGAGAAGCTACGGTCAGATCTGGACAAAGCCGAGAAGCTCAAGTCTCTAATGGCCTCCGAGGTGGACGATCACCACGCGGCCATAGAGCGGCGGAACGAGTACAACCTCAGGTGCGACTGGTGGGCCCAGGCCCCTCCTCTCCTACCAGCCTGGCCGCACCTGGCGGGGGGGGGGAGTTAGGTGTGGCCAGGCCTAAAGGAAAGCAGGAGCCTCCCATCTCTGTGACTCTGTGTTTCCATTTTTGGCGCATCCACATGGGGACCTCTGAGGGATTTGATGGCAGCTTCTCAGTCTTCCCTCCTCACAGGAAACTGGATGAAGAGTACAAGGAGCGAATAGCAGCCTTGAAGAATGAGCTCCGAAAGGAGAGAGAGCAGATCCTGCAACAGGTGGGCAAGCAGCGTGTGGAACTCGAGCAGGAAATTGAAAAGGCAAAAACAGAGGAGAACTACATCCGGGACCGCCTGGCCCTCTCTTTAAAGGTAACTGTCGGGGAGGAGGGTACAGCTCAAGTGGCAGAGCGCATGCTTAGCGTGCACAAGGTGCTGTATTCAGTCCCCTCTAAAAATAAATAAACCTAATTACCTTCCCTCTCCCCCCCAAAAATAAGTGAGACACATCCATATGTAGCTGTTTTTAATAAAAACAACCTTAAAAAAAAACAAAGGTAACTATCCTATTGGTTCTGTGGTCTGTGTCCCTGCTGGGAGAACCACATGGAAAAGCGTGGCTCTGTAAGAAGACAGGGTTGCACAGGGCTCCATCCAAAGATTCCCCATAGGTCTGCCCAGCTGGGTCATGACCCAGATGTGGTAGGCCCCCCAATGTGATCAAGATTGCAGGGTGTCCAGGCTGGTTTGCCAGCGCTGTATCATGTTCTCACTCCCTGAAGTTGCACTGGGTCCTGAGGGCTGTTTGGCATCTGGTTGATGCTCTTTCCCTTCCCTGCCCTCTCCCCTCCTCATTCTTAGCAGATGGCTTTATTTCCTGCCACGCAGAGGCCATCAGCTTTGTTTCTCTGCTTCTAAATGTACCTTTTCCCTTGTACATCCTCCTCTCCTTTCCTGTGCCTCAGTAAAGGAAGTAATCCTTCTCCTTACTGGACTCTGAGACACCAGGTGGTGCAGTGTCATCTGAAGTGAGGGGTTGAGGCTGGTTTGGACTCAGGACTGCCTGGTTCCAGTCTGGATACCACTATTTACTGGAAAACCTTGATCAGACCTGTTTCCTGATGTACAGAATAGGCACCATCATAATACCCTTAGCATTGATAGGGAGATAAAGTGAGATGCTACTTACACAGTGTCTGGAAGGTAATCAGTACATAGAGAATATTCACTCCTGCTGAGATTATAAAAGGTTCCTGAAACTCCACACATCACAAACTTGGCTAATTCTTACTCCCTAACCATTACACTGCTTCCTCTCCTGAATTTTCTCCCTAATCTACATCACCACCCTGTGCTGTAAGTCACAGAAGCTAAAGTCCTCGGTCATCCTCAGCGATCAGTTTCTGGGGCCTGTGATGACCTGAAGTGCTTCTCAGATTTATCCCGTCTCTCCGTTTCCATAGCCTCTAATAGGTTCGGAATTCACGATTTCTCAGCTGACTTTTGTGCACCCTTTCTTCCATCTGTCCAACCTCCCTCTGGCCACCAGACTTACCTTACTAGAGAACACTGACAGTCATGCTTTTTGGAAAAGTGCAACATGGCAGCACCGAAGGGCCCTGAGAGGGGGGCTGATCCTCATACCTTTCTGACCTCAGGCCCTGCCGGCAGCGACCCCCAGCGCCACGCCCCCAGTCCTGCTGCACCTGCCGTCAGCTCTCTCAGTTCCTCAATGGGTTTTATGCTCCTTCACTGCGTTCTCCACTCTGCAGGCCAAATTATGTTTTCGTTCCCATTACACTTACCTTTTTCTTGCCTGAAGACAGCACATTTTCTATTACATCATAGATCACTGTATCTGTGTCTGTCTCCCTGCCATGGTCCCGACTGTGTGTTCCCTGTGGTCAGCAACAGAATCTGATCTGTCAGCTTCCAGAGCACCAGCACAGGCCCGATACACAGCAACTGCTCCTGATGGTTTTAGCATCTCAATTTAGGCATATTTTGAAAGATCAGAGCTGTCGAATTGGCATTTTGGGGGAAGGTAGTATTTTTAAAAAACGCTTCAAGCACATTCTTTTTCACTCCATGTTACTGTGTGAGGGTGTGAACAGGAATGTATTAAAAATATACTGGCTCTATGTTCTTTTGGCAAAATGTACTTTGAAAATAATGTTCTTCCAATCAGCCTTTAGCACTGGAATAGAAAATATGTCAAATGGCACATCCGTGTGGTTTTATATTTTTAACAAATGTGGGTGGATATCTAAAAAGTATTTTGTATACGTAGAAAAACACATTTTGTGGACTTCAGTTGGTGTTATTTTATTATAATTTAAACATACAAATTATAAAAACCTGTATGTGTAGCTTTTACATCTAAAAACCAAAATAAAACTGTAAATTAAATATAAACCATATCTGCATCATCACTAAATGAAAATTGCGAAAGCTATTCTGTTTTATACTTTTTGAGCTCTCTTCTGCTGTCAGATGAACAAGGTATTCTGCAACCAGTTTTCTTTCATTTGACCATCTATTGAGAATGTTCTTCATGTCTTTAAACTTTTTACTATAGTGCTATTTAATAGAAATATAATGCAAGCCATGTACGTAATCTCAAATTTTCAAATAGCCACATTAAAAACTAAAAAGAAACAGATGAATTTAATTTTGAATCATTTTATTTAATATCTCCAAAACATTATCATTAAAAAAAATTGGGAGGGGGAGGTAATTAGGCATGTTTGTTTATTTATTATTTAAATGGAGGTACTGGGGATTGAACCCAGGACCTCATGCATGCTAAGCACACATTCTACCACTGAGCTGTATCCTCCCACCAAAACATTATCATTTTGCCATGTAATTAATATACAAAAATTATTATTGAGCTATCTTACATTTTTGTACTATTCAAATTCTGGTGAGTATTTTAGACTTACAGCACATCTTAGTTTGTATTATATATATTTCAAGTGTTCAGTATCTACATGTGACTGCTGGTGGCTACTGTTGGACAGTATGATTCTATAGGATCAAAAAAAAGAAGGCAAACTTTGATGTCATAAGATAAATATCAGTTTTTTAATACTTGCTTTTGTCTGCTCTAATCTACTGAAACTTTCAAGATGAACACGTTGTCTCAGTCTAGAACACTGATTTATGCATGACATACAGTGGTACAACAGTTTGATTAGTTTTAATTGTGCCCGCTTAATTTCCCCAAATTTCTTCAGGAAAACAGTCGTCTAGAAAATGAGCTTCTGGAAAATGCTGAAAAGTTGGCAGAGTACGAGACTCTGACAAACAAACTTCAGCGAAATTTGGAAAACGTTTTGGCAGAAAAGGTAAATCTGTTTAAATTTAATTTCCTGATATGTAGCCTGAAAGTGTAGTTTACTCAAAAGAGCGGAAGCGAGGCCACCAAGAAAACTTCTATGACAGTTATTTACATGCCTGAAGGAAGCTGTCGCTTCTGCAGCCGTCATTTAGTAGGTTAGTTATGAGGGAAGCACTGCATGGCGCTGAGAGGCAATCTCTGCTTTAGTTGAGTACATCACTCTAGAATGTTCTCCCATCATCCAGCTGGTGGTGTTTCTGCTTAAATGTCACATTCCTTTCATACTCAGGAGACTGGTTGAACACCAGAAACTGGGGCCTTTGGTATGTTACAGGTCAAAGAAGGACACTTGGGAAAAATGACAACTCTGCCCTTTTCCTCTTCTAGTTTGGTGACCTTGATCCCAGCAGTGCTGAATTCTTTTTGCAAGAAGAAAGGCTGACACAGATGAGAAATGAGTATGAGCAGCAGTGCAGGGTGAGTGCCTGACGAGAACTCAGCCAGTGGAGGGGTGCCTGGGTTCAAATGCTTCTTCACCATTTACTGTGTGCGTGACCCTGAGCACGTCACCTAATCTGTGGGTGGCTCAATTCCTGGCAAGAATAAGAGTTCCCACCAAGTAGGGTTGTTGTGGAGACTCAATGAGTAAATATAGTAGAGTCCTTAGAACAGAGCCTGGGACACGAAAAACACTTAACCCAAGTGCTAGCTATTAATATTATTACCTAGTACCCTGAAATATCATGCAAAGTGCACTTGAGTCTGCTTTATCTGGGTCAGAAATTGCTAGTAATTAGAGGGAAATAAAGTTTTATTCCAAGAGAAGGAAAATGTGGGCATGATGATGGGCTAGCCTTTCCTGAGCAAACAGTGCAGACCTAATCTGATATAATTTGCTTTTGTCTTGTGGGTTTTTTCCCTGAATACATTCCTTACTTTATAAAATGCAAATAGAGTAGAAACCAGTCAAGTCTGTAAGTAGTAACTCATTATAAATTCCTACCAGAAGACATAAAAACATCCTTAAAAATAACAGGAATCTTTGAGTTTTTTAAAAAATAACTCTCCTAAGCTCAGGAACTTCGGATTTTGGTTTTTTTTTTTTTTCTTAAACCGCAAACACTTGTCTATTTTAACAAGGTAAGCATAATTGAGTTCTGACTGCTGGAGATGAACATTGTACTTGTGCAAAACTGAGGGAAGCAACCACCTCCCTATGAGGTTGCTCAGAGCCTGCCTTCTCAGGAAATAGACATGCACATTTTGAGAAAAGAAGTGAAACGTTTATGCCACTCTTAGAAATAAGTTTTGGCTCTTGGCTCTAATTGGGCAGAGGTGTTTTCTTATATGCCTTTAATTATTTCATCGGTAAAAATCTGTCAGCTCTACCTCCAAAATCCCCCAAATTCATCCACTTGCTTATTTTTTTTTTACAGCTTTTCATAACCATATAATTCACCCACGTAAGGTGTACAAGTCAATCTCTTTTAGGATATCCACAGAATTGTGCAACCATTACCATGATAAATTGGAGAACATTTTCATATCCCAGAAAGAAAACTCCCATTCCACCATGCTGTAATCTCTCCCGGGACCCCCAGCCCTAGGCAACTGATAATCTATTTGCTGTCCTTTGGTTTTGCCTATTCTTTATGTTGCTTATAAATGGAATTACATAGTGTGTGGTCCTTTGTGCCTGCTTTCTTTCACGTAGCATAATGTTCTCAAGGCTCATCCACATTGCAGCAGGTATCAGTACTTCATTTCCTTCATCTGCTGAGCAATACTCCATTATACAGCTGTACCGCATTTTATTTACCCATTCGTTAGCTGATGGACATTTGGGTTGTTTTGAGTATTATGAATAATGCTGCTGTGAATACTTGTAAGCAAGGCTTTGTGTGGACATATTCTTTCACTCCTCTTGGTTTTATACCTATGAGTGGAATTGCCGGGTCGTATGATCACCATATGTTTAACCTTTTGAGGAACTGCTCAGTTTTTTCCAAGATGTTTTCCACCGTTTTACATTCCCTCCAGTATGAGAATTCCAGTTTCCTCCACATCCTTGCCAACAGTTGTTAATTGTATGTCTTCTTTATTTTAGCCGTCCTAGTGGGTATGAAGTGGTATCTCATGGTGGGTTTGATTTGCATTTCCCTGATGGCTAATAACATTGAGTATCTTTTTATGCGCCTGTTGGTATATCTTCTTTGGAATAGTGTCTATTCATATCCGTTGCTTAATATTTAAATGTGTTCTTTGTCCTTTTGTTATTGAGTTGTAATAGTTCTTTATATATTCTACATACAAGTACCTTATCGGATATAAAATTTGCAAAAGCTTTTCTCTCATTCTGCAGGTTGTCTTTTTACTTTCTTGATGGGATCATTTGAGGCACAAAAGTTTTTAATTTTGATGATGTACAGTTTATCTGTTTTTTTCTTTTATCGCTTGTGTTTTGGACATTACACCTAAGACTTGTGTTGGTTTTTAAACTCCAGGTATTACAAGACCAGGTAGATGAACTCCAGTCTGAACTAGAAGAATATCGTACGCAAGGCAAAGTGTTCAGACTTCCCTTGAAGAACTCGCTGTCAGAAGAACTTGATATTAACAGTAGTTGCATCGAGCCTGACCAGGGTAAACCATTCAGGCGCTGTCTTTTCAGTCTCTGCCTTTGACTTTTGTTTTTAGAACCATGGTTGAATGAAAAATTGCAAAACATCGGCAACCAAAAAAAAAAAAAGAAAAGAAAAAAGAGAGAGAGACTGGCAATGCTATTTTCTTGAGCTATTTCACTTGTGGTCTGTTTTTTTCATTTCTCCTTCAAGTCTTTATGAGAATAATTCCATCTGATTTTGAAATGCATCAACAAAGAAATGGAAAAATCAAACCACAAGGATATTTGCTTCATTAAAACGAAAAGCTGGCCACAGATCTGAGGATCCAGGCCTTGGGAGTGTTAGAATTCAGTGGTTGAGCTACTACTGAATCCTCCCTTTCTAAAAGAGTGTCTAACTGGTGTGACAGTATTTTAGAGACTGAGCCAGCCAGAAACCAGAGTTTGATATTCTTCTGCTGGCTGTGCTAAATGTCTGCAAAACAACAAATAAGATAAACAAATGTTGGTTGCCTGTGCCTTTGAGGAGGATTTTGAGTAGCAAGGTTGGCAGGCTGGATTGTTTGGGAACCCTCCTACATTCATTATCAGCTCTTTCCCTCCCTCCTGCTGTCCTACAGGAAGGACTCCACTGTGCTGAGTTTCAATTTCAGAAAGGGTTTATACTAAATTCTTCTGTTATAAATAGTTCTCCCCACTGCTACTGGGAACAGGAGAACAGGTTCTTACAAGCGTTGTTTATTCTTCTCCTCACTTGTTTATTCTAGAATAAGGGACTAGGGAGGGGACAGGAAGAGGCCTGAACACCTGCCCTCTGATTCTGAGTCTGTACTCTGTAGCCTTACTGTGGTATAAGGATGGAGCCCAACCGATATGCTAAACCTCAGAAGCTTTTCTGGGCTTTTCCACAGATGGCCAAGGGAGTTCTCGTGGGTACGTGAGGCTGTTCCACCTTGGGGTGGTTTACGCCCCAGGCATCACTTCTCAGTTGAGGATATGTCATGATACTTGAAGAGAAAGCCCGAAGCAGGACTGTCAGTTCCAGATGCTAGACTTGTGCTGTTTCTGGCATCTGCCTGTGTACCTCCCTATGAAAGGTCTCTACGTAGGGTTAGTACACAGACAAAGTGGTTATGCCTAGCTCAGCCCTCAGCCTGTGCTTCACATTTCAGTGTCCTTCTCACCATCACAGGCAGTTGCTGAAGTGAACTCATATGAATGACTTGAGAATTTTCCACCCAAACTGCCTATATCCAGGTTCATAACTTACGCCCTGTTCTTTAAAAATGTTAGCTGGTAATTTAGGATGAGGCCCCACCTGTACTACAGAAAAATAATATTACAGTATTCAGTCTTCTGTAATGTGGAGTGGTGGTTTGGATATCTTGACCCTTGAAGTTAACACCTCAAGGTGTTTAGCAAGTATGCTGGCCATTCATTCTCCTGCCACGTTGTTCCTCTGCTAATTTGTCATTCAGTATTTGCTGGATGGCTGGTTGGTTTGAGTGAACTACCTCACTCTGCAGCATTTTCATTAGGAGGAGGTCACGTTTAAACAGCAATTCCACTGTTCTGTCAGATTCCATTAAGGTTTATTACACTGTCTGTACACGAAAGAATCTATTCACCTTCATTTTTTTCTTGTTCTTCCCTAATGCTTGAAAACAGGAGACGTCTCTTGGCTTCTGTTGTTTCCTAGTAGATCCCATCTGTAGCAATTTAGGCTAAAAATCATCCCTTCATTAAACTGGATGTCCTTCCTCAGATGCCAGTTGTGTTACTGAAAAAGCCTGCTGCAGGGTCAACAGATCCCATGTGTTTTCAGGGCTTGGTTCTGAAGAATGCAATCCATTGAATATGAGCATCGAGGCGGAGCTGGTCATTGAACAGATGAAAGAGCAGCATCACAGGGACTTGTGTCGCCTCAGACTGGAGCTTGAAGATAAAGTAAGTCCTTCTCATCAGTCCGGCTCTCTAATGTCTTTGAGCTCTGACAGGCTTTGCATGTAGAACATTCTCAATTCTTTTTTCTCAAAGAGCAGCACTGTCTACACTTCCTCTTGTGTCTTGATGGCTGCCAGAACTCACCTCCTCAGGACAGTTTCATAGGCCAAGGGTGAGGCCTTTTCTTCATAGGAGAGAGTTTCTTAAAAATGTAGTATCTTCAGCCCTAGCAACCATGGAACTTGCAGGTCATTACATTATTCCCAACTCATTAAAAAAATCGCAATAAAAAATTTTAAAAGCCCTTTGATATAGCATTACCACCTCAATTAGGTACAAGTTTTGAATCTTGGTCTCCAAAAACCTTCACCATGTCACTTCAGCTGGTATATCTAGTCTTCTTTTTTTTCCCCCAGTCCTCTGAGTTACCTTATCCTCCAGCCAAACCAGGTAGTCTGCTGTTCTCCATCAAACTGTCCTGCTCATGCTGTGACATGTGTTATTATTATCTCCTTCCACCTCTTAAAAGTCTACCTACCCTTCAGAGTTTATATCAAATGCTACCTCTTGCATTCCTGGATTCTCCCAACCAAATGTGATTTTTCCCCCCTCCTTTAAGTCCCTGGGTTACATCGTAGCTGTTTTCCCTATACTTTTAATATGTTGTATTCTGACTTGTAGTGTACTTTTTTTGTATTTGTCATAACCATATCTGGAGTGGGTTTTTCCTGATGACAGGGGCTCGTCTTACCCAACTTTGTGTCCCCACAGGGCCTGATAGGCATTAAAGAGATATTTGAATTAAATTGAGCATGTTAAGACACTAAGTGTGCAATTGGAAAGGATGCCTGTGAAGACAAATGATATCTATGTGAAGGCTTAGTCGGTTTTAATAGAGCTGTTCAGAAACTAGAAATGCAACCAAGTTAACAAGGAATGCAAACCATGCCTGACTTCAAAATATTTAACATGCTTTCGAGTTGTTACTTTAAAACAAAATGAGGAAACTGAGGAATGTCTTATAGGAAAAAAGAACTTACTGCCCCGTGGCATTTCCAAGGCCTTGAATTGAGTAACACTCTGGTTATTTCACTTTCGGGCTTCAGGTGCACCACTATGAAAAGCAGCTAGATGAAACCAAGGTTGCCTGTGAAAAGGAGCGGGAGAACATGAAGCAAAAGTATGAGAATGAAGTGCACACCTTGGAAAAACAAATAAGTGACCTTAAAAATGAAATTGCAGAACTTCAGGGCCAGGCAGTGGTGCTCAAGGAGGCACAACATATGGCTGCCTGCACACTTGAGGAGGAGAAGAAACAACTGCAAATGAAGTGGGATGAGGAAAAGGCTCACCTGCAGGAGGAGCTGAGGCTGGAGCATGAGATGGAGCTCAAGGCTAGGCTGGCGCGGGCGGAGGAAAGCTTTAACGGAGAGAGGGAAAAATTCATTCAAAGTGGAGCCTGGACAGAGGAGAAGGTGAGAGGCTTGACTCAGGAACTAGAACAGTTTCACCAGGAGCAGCTCAAAAGCCTGGTGGAGAAGCACACTCTTGAGAAAGAGGAATTGCAAAAAGAGCTCTTGGAAAAACACCAAAGGGAGCTCCGAGAGGGAAGGTAAGAAAATGGGGGAAATGGAGCAACCTGGGGCACTATTCCTCAGGGGCACCAGAAGTCCAGTCAATTGAGATGATTATGAAAAATCAGAAGACATAACAGCCCATGGGTTCTTTTTTAGTTTTTCAACTTATTTTGCCATTATTTAATAAACCTACTTTGGGGTTATTGAAACTTTTTTTTTTTAAGAGGAAAGTATTTTTTTGTGTCAGATGTGTACCTTTTACAGTTCCAGATGAGGACAAGATTATTGCAAATGTGGTTTCTTCCTAGTTCAGTCCTGTTGTTTTCTGAGAAAGGTCATTTATAAGCTAGATTCTAGGCAAGATTACATTTCCTCAGAGTTATTAAACACCATTTTGTGCTTACTTTTCTTGCATGAAATCTGAGATACTTTTGAGGGCTTTGGTGCTTCATACTTTGATTAACTTAGTGCTACTTTATTAAATAAAAAGCAAAACATAATAAGTTTGTTAATATGTGTGGTTTATATGACTACTATCCACCAATGGATACTTAATTAAAATGAAAGAATTTTATGTATTTCCCAAGTTAGGGTTTAGGTTAATATGCACTTGAACATTTGTGAAGTATCAGTCTAAGTTTTTGGCTACAGATCCATAAACAAATACATCTGGGATTATGCCAAGGAACTTGGTTTCTAAATTTTCCTTCTTAAATGCAGAGAGGTAAGTAAGTCTTTTAAATTGATTATGACTGCCAGTGTTGGCTCTCACAGATGAGATCCCTTCTCAGTGTAAGTGAATCACATAGGAATAAATGAAGATCATTTTTTAGAAAATGTCTAAATTATTTGCTTGGCTGCTGCATCTATGTGTGGGAAAATGTTTTTTGTTTGCTTCCAGAGTTGATGGCAGTTTCAGTAATGCTGTATGTTGACCACATTTAGGGAAAAATTGGAAACTGAGTGTGATAGAAGAACCTCTCAGATAGAAGCCCAGTTTCAGGCTGACTGTCAGAAAGTCACTGAGAGATGTGAAAATGCTCTGCGAAGTCTGGAGGGGCATTACCGCCAAGAGCTGAAGGAGCTCCTGGAACAGCAACGTGAGGAGAGGTCCCAGTGGGAGTTTGAGAAGGACGAGCTCTCCCAGGAGTGTGCAGAAGCCCAGGAGCAGCTTAAGGAGACTCTCCAAAGAGAGAAAGAAGCTTCTCTGGTCCTGACCCAAGAGAGAGAGATGCTGGAGAAAACATACAAAGAACATCTGAATAGCATGGTTGTTGAGAGAGAGCAGCTACTCAGAGATCTGGAAGATCTAAGAAATGTGTCTGAAAGTCAGCAAAGCCTACTGTCCAACCAGATACTTGAGCTGAAGAGCAATCATGAAAGAGAGCTGAAGGACCGGGAGCAGGTCCTGTGCCAGGCAGGCGCCTCGGAGCAGCTGGTCAGCCAGAGGCTTGAAAGGCTAGAAATGGAGCGTGACCAGGAGAGGCAAGAAATGATGTCCAAGCTTCTGGCCATGGAGAGTGTCCACAAGGCGACCTGTGAGAAAGCTGATCGAGAGAGGGCCGAGATGAGCACAGAAATCTCCAGGCTCCAGAATAAAATTAAAGAAATGCAGCAGGTGGCATCTCCTCCCTCCAGGCTTCAGAATGGCTGCCAGGCAATGGGAGGGGCGGAGGTGGCAGGAAGTGGAGCCCTGTCCCTGCTCCAGCAAGGAGAGCAGCTGTTGGAGGAGAATGGAGATGTCCTCTTAAGCCTGCAGAGAGCTCATGAACGAGCAGTGAAAGAAAATGTGAAAATGGCTACTGAAATTTCTAGGTTGCAACAGAGGCTGCAAAAATTAGAGCCAGAGTCAGTAATGGCTTCTTGTGTAGATGAGCCAACTACTGGATTTTTGGGAAATTCTGTGGAACAAACAGAACCATTTCTACTGCAAAACCGAATGAAGCAAGTAGAAAGTGGAACCATGCAGAGTGTCCTAAGTGACCTGCAAGGTGATGAGGTCCAGGATCTGGAAAGTACAGGGACGAGCTCTGGTCAGAAACAAGAGGTCAGAATACAGGAGTCTGAAGCATCAATAGAGAGTTTTTCTGAGCTTGAAAATAGTGAGGAGACCAGGACTGAGACCTGGGACCTGAAGAATCAGGTTGGCCAGCTTCAGGAACAACTAATGATCTTACGTGCAGATTGTGAGCGAGCTTCCGAAAAGAAGCAGGACCTACTTTTTGATGTTTCTGTGCTAAAGAAGAAATTAAAGGTGCTTGAGAGAATCCCTGAAGCTTCTCCGAAGTATAAACTGTTGTATGAAGACGCTAGTAGAGAAAATGAGTCTCTTCAGGAAGAGCTGAGAGTGATGGAGACACGCTATGATGAGGCTCTAGAAAATAACCAAGAACTCACTTCAGAAATGTTCCGATTACAGGATGAGTTAAAGAAGGCTGAAGAAGTGACTGAAACATTCCTTAGCCTGGAAAAGAGTTACAATGATGTCAAAAGAGAAAACGAGGAACTGCATATTCTGGTTCTGAAACTTCAAGGCAAGATTGAGAAACTGCAAGAAAGAGCAGTGCTGCAGTGTGATTGCTTCTCCTTATGGGAAGCCCATTTAGATAACCTGGACGTCGAACCTGATGAGCAGGTGCTTGAGCTAAATCGGACACTGGGAGAGCACGCACCGAAGGTTATGAAAGTACATCGTATTATAGAAGAACGTTATCAAGAAAACCAGTATATTGAGCAGGAGAATACACAGCTCCTAGATAAAGTAAAAGCACACAAAATTGCCTGGCTCCATGGAACACTCCGGACACATCGAGAAAAGCCTGTAGTAGAGGACCAAGTTATCCTGGAGGAAAACGCTGCTCTCTTAGGCCTTCAAGACAAATATTTTCAGCGCCAGGCCACAATTGCAGAGTTAGAACTGGAGAAAAAAAAGCTGCAGGAGCTGACTAGAAAGTTGAGGGAAAGAGTCACTACTTTAGTTAAGCAAAAAGACATGCCTTCTCAAGGAGAAAAGGAGGAGGAGCTGAAGGCAATGATGCATGACCTGCAAATCACGTGCAGTGAGATGCAGCAAAAAGTTGAGCTTCTGAGGTAATGTATGTACCTTCTCAACCTCACGGAATCCCACAGAGCTCCTCACCAAATCTAACTTCCACTGCTTGCTGTGCCTAGAGACACTAACCTGGTAGTCTTCGAGAAGAGAGCAGTACTTTAGACTTCCTCCTGCTTCTGTGTCATATTAACAAATAGAATAACCCTGCCTAGGAGGCATTCCCTTCCGCTCTAGGAAATAAATGTCATTCATTTGGGGTGTGAAAGTTCATAATGGAGAGTGTTTGTTGTTTAACCGTGTGCACCGTCAATGTGTGTCAAGTCTTTAACTCTTTTCTGGCACTTCATTTGGATGGATAGGTGTTTTTTTTTTTTTTTGGCTAAATGTTAGTTATTTTCCTCATTTCGATAAAACCAGTTACATGAGAATGAATGCCTTTTGCGTATTATTAACTCATTTGATAGATAAGAACTCTCTTATACTAATATAGGAAAAATGTTGTGTTTTGTGGCGTTTAGTTTTTTACTTACATCACTTGAAGTACATGCTGACATTCTGTAAATAATGGAAATTTATCTTAGGACATGTAATTTTATGGAAGAGCTATCAGATTCTAACAAATGTGCTTAAAGAATAAAGACAAAAATGAAACTAATTTGAACCACTGCTCACTTGATTTATAATATATAATCGCAATAGTCTTTTAACAAATTTCAGTTAAAAAAAACTTGTAAAATATTACATCATGTCTGAAATATCTTAATGGTGTGAAAAAAAAACCCAAAAAATTCTGGGTGAAGTTTTTCCTCTTATTCAGACCCTTTTTAGTTCTAAAAATCATAATGAGATGGAAAAAAAATCGCAAAGTAGACATTAGTGTACACTTCAGTGTGGCCCCTTCGTTTATGTAGTGAATTTTCTTTCTTTAGGTACCCTGGGGCTTAAAACTAAAGCTAATGCAGCTTAGTAAAATGGCTTTTGTCTTTTAGGAGTAGACAGGACTTGAGACTGAAATAAATGAAGTTATTTGCTCAGAGCCGTATGCTTGCCACTGGGAAAGGCAGCAGCCAGGCTGGGCATTGAGTCTCCATTTCTGTGTCCATACTCCAGTGTTTAAGCCACACCTACCTAATGTCTTTTAGTGAATTTCTCACTTCCCAAAAGAAATGAGTCAATATGTCATAGCTTGATTTCCAAGTACCAAGAGACTACTAATTTAGATTTTTCATTTTAACTGGCATGGAATGCTTGTTTAATTGGAAGTTACTAGAAAGTATTTTCCAAAGATGCCAGATGACTGCCGTGTCTAACTTTTTTTTTTTAAATCTCTGTACTTCAGATATGAATCTGAGAAGCTTCAAGAGGAAAATTCTATTTTGAGAAATGAAATTACTACTTTAAATGAAGAAGATAGCATTTCAAACCTGAAATTAGGGAAATTAAGTGGATCTCAGGAAGAAATGTGGTAAGACGTATACTTTAAATGTTCTTAAGGCATTTTTGCAAGGACTATAAAACTATTTTACTTCAACTTTTAAAGCCTAACTCTTAAGTTACATTTTCATTCTCTGTTTAGGCAAAAAATAGAAACTGTAAAACAGGAAAAAGCTGCAGTTCAGAAGACGGTTGAAAATTTAAAGAAACAGGTAAGAAGAGAATATTTCCCAACTTTTCCTGATTCTAAAATTTTCTCTTTTTTTATTTGAAATGTATAAATTTATAGCACATGCTGCTGGAGATGTAGCTAATAATGGTAAGTTTGTAAATCTTACCATCTGAGTTTCAAATAGAAACTCACCTCAAGCTAATTTTAAACTAGATTTCTGGTTTTTGTGAATATAAGAATGCATATATTATTTTTAGACTCTGAATGCTTAAAACAAGCTTTATAATTGGTGGGAGTAGAGAAATGTTACCTCTAAAACCAAATACTAGCTCTGTCCTTCCTGTGGTTTTGATTAATGTGTGCTCCTTCCTCGTTCCTCCCCATGATTGAAAGCACAAAGTTAAGAACGTAATTTTATAGATGTAGAACACTGGTTAATTGGTATATATTTTCACAGGATTATGACTTATTTAGATAGCTTGTGCCATTCAATGCCCAGTTTGCATAATCTCACAATATGCAATTGTGCGGGGGAAGGCAATTAGGAATCTGTCTGAAACAGTCCAAAGACAAGGGCATCCTGGGAAAAGAGTATTTTCAGCACTTGAAATAGACAAGATGTTAACACCCAAAACATATTTTGTACTCTTACAAATGGCAAAACCCTGTTGAAAAATGGGTAATTGATATGAATGGTCAAGTCACAGAAAGATAGAAGAGAATACATAAAAAGATGGTTAGTTAGCCTCACTAGTAATTAGGGAAGGGCAAGTTAAATGAGTTTCTTTGTTTTCACCTATCAGATTGGCAAAAATTAGATTTATCCATCTAGTACTAGAGAGTGAGGAAATGGATGTACTCAGACATTGCTGATAGGACTGTAAGTTGGTAGCACTGTGAGGAAGCCATTTTGGATGTATCGATCAAAACAGTAATGTGTATGCATACCTTCTAACCCAGCTGCCCCAATTCTATAAAAAGGATCCTGAATACAAAATGCTACTATGTATAAATGAATTTTCCAAAAGATTGTTTTGTTTCTTTACAATTAAAGGAATGATAACAAACCTATATGTCTATCAGTGTGAGAATGGGTAAATACAGTATGGAATGTCTTGATACACGAACACCCTACAGCCACTAAAAATATAGCATGTGGTGGTTTCTGAATGCACTGACTTGGAAAGATAAGAGTCTGTAAGATATTGTAAGTGGAAAGAAGAGACTATCCAAACATCAGAAATGATGCAAATTTTTGTTAAAAAAAACTTATGTGTCTATGGCTGTTGTATATGCTTGGAAAACAATCCGGAGGGATACATATCTGGCTGTGCACAGTGGGGACCCCTGTGGACTGGGATTAGACAGAGTGTCTAGCACTTCTTCATACACTTCTGAATCAACTGACTTTTTAATAATGAGTATGTATCATTTCTGTTATTAAATGTGTGTGCGTGTGTGATACAACTTTATCTGCATAAAGAGGGAAAAAACAACTAGTCTCTGAAAATGTTTTTTAGCAGAAACATGGTAACAGTTTTTAAAACGTATTTCAATTTTAATTAGATTTCAGAATTAAAAACCAAAAACCAACAGTTGGATTTGGAAAATACAGAGCTTAGCCAACAGAATTCTCAAAATCAGAAAGAACTGCAAGAACTTAATCAACGTCTGGCAGAAATGCTGTGCCAGAAAGATGAAGAGCCAGGTCAGAGTACATGTGAGGAGTGGGAACAAGAGAAGTCTAATCTGAAAGATGAACTGGAACACTGCAAAGTGCAGGTATGTTCTGCAGCTCCTCTACAGCCTTTTTGGAAGCAATCCTAAGAAAGAAAAGAAATGCTTGCATTAAATTCTTACACATAAAGTCTTAATAATTAAAACAGAGTGGTGCTGGCACATGAATAGACAGATAAGTGGAATAGAGAGTCTAGAATTAGACCCAAATCCAAATGGGAACTCAGTATGTAACAAAGGTAGATACTCAAGTCACTGGGGTAAAGATGGACTTTTTAATAAGTGGTGCCTGGACAACTGGGTAGACATTTAGAAGTAGATAAAATTAGATCCATATCTTGTATCACACATAAGGGTAAACTAATTGGATTAGGAGTCTAAACATAAAAGATAAAACTATACAAGTACTTAGAAGAAAATGGGGATATTCATCTTTAGCCTTGGTGTAGAGAAAGGCTGTGTAACTATGACTCATAAAGTAGAGGCAAAAAAAAAAAGATTAAATTTAAAATTTTTACATGGCAAAAAAATACCATAAACAAAGTCAAAAGACACCTCACAAACTGGGAGAAAATATTTGCATCATATTCCACAAAGAGTGGGGCCAATATCCCTACTATGTAAAGAACTCTTAAAAATCAAAGGACTTAGGACCCAAATCTGATAGCAAAATGGGAAGAACACGTGAACAATTCACACACAAAAAAGAGATAAAAAATGGCCCTCAAAACTATGAAAAAAATGTTTAAATTACTCAGAATTAGAGAAATGCAAATAAAACAACACTGCCATATCATTTCTCACCTATGAGATTGGCAACAGTTAAAAAATATGACAACGTATTCTGTTGGCAAGGCTTTGGGAAAACAGGCACTTTCATACATTGCTGGTGGGGATGGAAACTGATACTGTCCTTCTGGAAGGAAATTTGGCAATACCTAACAAAATTACATGTGTACTTACCTTTTATCTCAGCAATCTGACTTCTAGGAATCTACCATAAAGATGCTCCTCCAAAAATATGAAAATTCATACACACAGTGTTGATTATTCATTGCAGCATTGTGTGTAACTGCAAACTATTGGAAACAGCCTAGATGCTCATACATAGGAGAGTGGTTGGATAAATGTGGTGGGTGTAGCCACACCATGGAGTGGTATTACACAGCTTTAAAAAAAGAGAAAGAAAGAATGGATGAAAGAGAAAAATCTCTATTGATATGAAATGATTTCCAGGACATACTCTTATGTGAAAAAAGAAAAGCACAAAAGAGTGTCTAAGAGTGGGTAGAGTATGCATACTACATCCAGGTTAAGAAGGGGACATTAGACAGTACACATGTGCTTGTGCAAAAGAAATACATGGATGGTGAACCAGGTAACTAAAGAGATGGTTACCTATAGGGGGAGAGTAGGAAAGGGATGAAAGAGAGGAATGGGAATGTGATAGAAGGGATGGGGAAGGAGGGGCACTTCCGAGTATCGTTTCATATAACTCTGACACTTAGCACCATAGTAATGTTTCATATACTTTTCACCTGCCCCCTCAATAAACACACAATTTAAACCAGTCCAAAAAATAAAGATGAGGGGGTATGGAAATGGAACACAAACACTAACAAATGAACCTAACTCTATTATAAATGGATAACATAACCACAATGGGGAAGAAAATACATAATTTGGAAATTAGTATCTTGACTGTATACTGTAGGGTTAAGACAAAAAGAAGTGCACATAAATACTCTATAATCTAGCCAGTAAATCTGTTTCTCTTGGGCGTGTATGTTAGTAATTCTTGAGCTACTCTGTATATACTCGAATTGAACAAATAAGTAAATATATTGCAGGTAATAAGAACTGAGTTTCTCACTGCTGGAGAAGGAATTTGGAAGTGGGAAAACTGGGAAGGATAAAATGAACCCTCTGATGTTGGATTGAAATTTGAGTATCAACTTGAGTATCAATTAGTATCAGCTCGGGTTTCTCAATACATAGACAGATACATACAACAGAGGTGTAGATGTGTGTATATGGCTGGAGTGCCCAGATTCTGGTTTCTAAACACTATTATCCTATAAGAAGAACCAGGGCTCGTTGGAAAAATGATTGATTCCAAGGTTGGGGCAGGGACAGTTCAAGATGAGCCTAGAACATCTCATGCCAGAAAGAAAAAAGTGCTCAAAGAGACGGGGGATGTCGAAAGGACACAGTGCACAACCCCAAGAAACTCCTAATGGTCAAAGCTTCAATAAGTTGATCAACAAAGTTAAGTATAGCATAACATAAATGTAATTATAAAATAAATTTAGAATAAAATAAATATCTATAGGTCTGTACTGTTATAAAAAATTGAATAAGTAAAGGGGTGGGAGAAGAAGTACCAGCTCTTCCTTACAGAACTCCAATTAATAAATGTAGAAAGAAAGAAGGAAACAAAGTCTTCATTAGGCAAACACCAGAGTAATGATTGTTGTAAACAAAATCCACTGACGGACACTAAAATGTATAAGCAAAAGCTTAAGGAAAAACAATGTGCGTGGTCTCAAGTATCTCCCCCAAGAGAAAGATAGTAACTTTACGGTGGGAAAATCCGCAAAAATGAACTTAGAAATCATGTTCATGCCATTTTAGTGGAAAGTCTTTTAAAAGGTAGTTTTGGTTAGTTCTAATGAGTATAAGGACAAATGGTCATAAAACAGCATGTCACTGAATTTGCACTCGTGTTTCCTTAATGCTGCCTTTTGTGAACCTATTGAGTTTCCTCGGGCTAAATGAATATGTGTATTATTTGACTTTTTCATTTTTTTTCTTAGTCCTCCACTTTAGTGTCTTCTCTGGAGGCAGAACTTTCTGAAGTTAAAATACAGACTCATATAGTGGAACAGGAAAACCTCCTTCTCAAAGATGAACTGGAGAAAATAAAACAAGTAAGACCGTGTGCTGCTTAGGCGGGGCGCGGGGGCTAGCAGAATATTTACCTGCTGGTCCGTCTTTTCTAGCCACCAAATATCCTTTTTACTGAGTCCTGTTAACTAGCTTACTGCTTAGTAAAGTCGAGGGCTTGCAGTTCAAACCTATTTATCAGGGTTTTGATTGCTGATTCTTTAAATGTTGTTCTAGTTATATAACTTACATATGTTGGAGACTGAAATACTATTATTATAAATGAATCACAACCACTTCAGTTTAAGAAATGTATTGTTCTACTTGCTCCTGGCCAGGTGTCAAAGTAATATTAGTTTATCTAAAAACATGTTCTTGCTCATAACTTTAATAGCTATTCACCCAGGTATGTGAGACACAGTTGAAGCTGGTGCCTTGTCCCGTTTTCTCATAGTGAATTTGAGGCCTCTACCTTGGGCAGAAGAGTAGATTCTAAAGGATTATCAGGGATGCAGTCTCGTCTATGAATTTGGCTTTAAGGAGCATATTTCAAATTTCTACTTTTAACAAAGATCTACTTTTAAATATAGAAGAGGGTTCACCTTAAAGTTATATTCTGAACATTGTCTAATTTTACTCTTTATTCTGAATTTTTCAATGAGTACAGGACTCTCTGAGTTTGAGCAATCCTGATTTACAACGGGAGGATTTAGTTGTTCCATTTTATTTATGTGCTTCACCAAAGGATTACTTTAATATTATGATACCCTTAGATTGTAAAATTCTCTCATATCTATTTAGCCTGTGAGCATAAATGTATCCTTCTCTGAATGCTGAAATATAGAGTGTGCGATGTTTGATCTTTAATTGACTCCTGTAAGTCCGGATTTCCTAATAGGATTATAAGACTCAGGAAATTTGTGTCTCTCATAATGCCTAATAGAGAACTGTTACCTGATAGGTGCTTTTAAGAACCTCTTCAAGTCAGATGCTGCTGTGCAAAGTATATCTTTTCTGCCATAGCAGAAGCTGTCTGTCCACGTAAACATTCCAGAAGTAAAAAGGCCCTTCTGTGGTGTATAAGTATTCCAAAGCTGTTATTACCAAATTCATCCTAATTAACTGGGGCATACTTTTCTCCTTTACCTTTTTCTGTCTGTTGTTTAGTCTTTCAGATGATAATGATGGGTTCCAAATTCATAGCATGGGAAGTGTGTGCTTTGTGATCCTGCCAAGCTATGGGTCAGAAGACAAGGAGCAGAGTTGGGAGTAAAATAGCATAATGAGAACATCATTTGGCATATTTTTATTGCATAATTTTAGAAGCACTGATGTAAATAGTGAGATGGGAAAACAGTGAGCCCTGTTTGCCTCTGGTAGGAAGGTGTTCGTGGCACCTGGACTCTTCTGGATCACAAGAGGAGGATGGTGTCAGCCCACGGTTGCTGCCAGGCAGCTTGGACCTAGCAAACATGTGCTGCTCTGTATGACATAAGGATTCCTTGTTCACAAAACATTTTTCCTTGTACTATCTGTTGCACTGAAGGGAAACACAAATAACATCAGCAGAAGTCGCACGCCAGTCAGTAGACACCCAAAATGGCACCAGGCTTTGTGAGCATCTGGGGATGGGGAGGCGAGGTAGTGAGAAAAGCAGAAGTGTCCTTTATTAAACCAGTGCCCAGGTACTTCAAAGTACATTTTCCTACATCCCGACTTGGTTAGATTTTTAAGGTATGCTGGATTTGTTGCCAGCTGAAGACAGGATTCAACCCATCAAGTCTGTTTTGTCATGCTATTCCTAAAGCTAAATGTAAAAGAACTTAAGGCAGAAAGTAGAAAGATGGCCATAAAATCATAATAGTAATAATTAAAGATTTGAAAGCCACATGAAGAGGGAAATTAAAAACATATGAACTATGGGAAAGGGTTAAGAAGTGTGAGAAACACTCAGCTTCTTTAAAGCAGTGACTGTGGGGAGACGGGGAGTCCTCCCTCACCCCGGGATATTTATCAATATCTAGGGACAATTTTGGTTTTTACAGCCAGTGTATGAGGAGGGGCAGGCGCTCCTGGAATGTAATAGGTAATGCCAGAGATGCTGTTAACCACCCTACAGCACACAGGACAACCCCCCTCAACAAAGAATTAACCTGGCCCAGAATGTCAGTAGTGCCAAGGCTGATGCTGAAAAGGAACAAGTCTTTGGTTTGTCTTGGTTCCACCAACTAGAGAGGAGGAAGCCAGTGTGTCCACACCAGCAACATTTTACTAAACAAGTCAGTTTAGGCATCTTCCAGAGGGAAGGGTACATGGAACAAGCTAAAAATACTGACTGATTTATCTTTAAACTTGCCCTTGTGTTGATACATTGAATTTGGTTGATGCCAATCCTATAGTCTTGGCTGAGATTTTGGAAAAGATTTTTTCTAGGTAAAAAAGCATGAGGAAAACATTTTGTGCCATATGTACATAAGTTAAACTGATGACAGAATGGCAGTATGTTATTTATTTTACCCTGAAGGTGAAACAGAAAGCTAGGACCATAGATAACAATGTCTCGTTGATTTTATCTGAGCAGACATTTCAGTCAGTTGGAGAATCAGGAGAAACCAGCAGGGAACATTTTGTTAAAGTTAATTATAGTCCCCTAGAGTTTATATGTCCTCTGAAATATCTACAGATAGGGAGATAGCAGCAGCCATGAAAATGCCCTGTTTATAAATAAATCTTTATAAACACAGCCATGAGATGTGATGGGAGGGCTCGTTTGTTTATCTCTTACAGCTGCACAGATGTCCGGATCTCTCTGACTTCCAGCAGAAGATTTCTAGTGTTCTAAGCTACAATGAAAAACTGCTTGAAGAAAAGGAAGCTCTAAGTGAAGAATTAAATGGCTGTGTTGATAAGGTAGTAAAAATAAGACTTTTTACCGTCATTGTACAATGTGTACCATGATGAGCATTTCCATAATGCACAGTGGCACATGGGCCTGCCATGTTAGCCTGAAAGTCTTCTGGTGCAGCACTGTGGCTGGCATTTTGTGACCTGAGACCATGAGGATTTTAGTAAGAGTCTGGATTTGTTGTTTAGTATTTATATTATTAAATATAGTAATATAAAGTTTGTCTCATTTTAATAAGTAACCATGCTACTTAATATACAATGTTATTTAAATATATCACTATTATACCTATATAATATAAATATTATTGTATTTAATAATCTGAAACCCATTACATTACATAGGCTTTTTTTTTTTTTTATGTGTTCCCTAGCAATTCCAAAAACACTGCTTTTGTTCCACCTGCCTTCATAGGCAGTCCATATTTCCTATTATGGCACACTCTTGAGGTTTCTAACTGCCTTCCAGCCCACCATCTCACCCACAAAACACGAGGCAATGAGAAAGAAAAATGGAAATTCCCAAAGAGAAGAGACTCCTCAAAATTAAAGGTAGAAAAGGGAGTTAAACAACAAGTTTATACTGTATAGCACAGGGAACTATATTCAATATCTTCTAGTAACTTATGGTGAAAGAGAATATGAAAACGAATATATGTATGTTCCTATTATGACTGAAGCATTATGCTGTACACCAGAAATTGACACAACATTGTAAACTGACTATACTTCAATTTAAAAAATATATATACGTATATATATATATATTTTTTAAAAGCAAATTGAAAAGGGAGTTAAGACATCTCTCTTACCTTGCCCTGATCCCCCATGTAAAGAGATGGTACTTGATTCTTTCAGTATAAATGTAGGCATATGAATTGAGACTAGACATGTTTGCAAAAATGCCCTGTTAACTCTATTCTTTTCCTGAAACAGTTGGCAAAATCAAGTGTTTTAGAGCACAGAATTGCTACTATGGAGCAGGAACAGAAGTCTTGGGAACACCAAAATGAAAGCTTAAAGTCACAGCTAGTGGCTTCACAGGAAAAAGTATGTCAATAATTCTTGTTTCATCCTCACAGTTAATATTTTCCTAAGTCTTCCAACAGAACCCCAGTGGAAAGAATGTTCCAGGTGAAAGTGGCTGAAGAGGGCTCAAAATGATTCAGTGTAACTCATATTTGACACATGCTTACAGAATAGTGAAATGACTGAACAACAGTTCCTTCAAAGTTCATTATTATGAAATAATTTTGAGGTTATCTCATCATTATGAGATTACTTACTTATGAAAGCTTAAGAATAGTGTGTAAAAATGAATGGTTGTTTCTAATTTAGAAATAGGATTTATAGAGCAGGTTCACGTCCTTTTATAGTTAAAGAACTCTATCAACATTCCTTTTACCAACTTACTTTTTTTTAACTGAAATATATATGAGATGTTTAGCATGGAGTAGGGTTCTACAAAGATATGTTTTTATTTTCAACCAAGAGGTCCTTTCTTTATATACCAACCCCACAAAATTCAGTAAAACCATCTTTTGTGATGCTGGTTGGTACTCACTGGTTTTGAAAGATATTAGTTGGTAATATACCAGATGACTAAATCAGCAATACCTTGTTCTAGACATAGTTCATTGCTGTCCTAAACATAATTAAACATCCTGTAAAGATACATAACATCCTGGGTTTCTACTGAGCTGTGGAAAAGAGCTGGATATAGTAAGTAGAAGAAGAAGGGGACTTGGAGTTCTCTTGTCTTAGCTCATTTGTATGTGGACGTGCTACAGATGAGACCATGAGGATTTGTGTCGCAGTGTGAGATTGTTCTCATGATGCAGGTTCAGAATTTAGAAGACACCCTGCAGAATGTAAACCTGCAAATGTCCCAGATTAAATCTGACCTGCGAGTGACTCAGCAGGAAAAGGAGGCTTTAAAACAAGAAGTGATGTTGTTACACAAGCAACTTCAGAATGCTGGTGACAAGGTAATTTCTTCTCTGTTGAGGTATGACTTTATACAGCAAAGTGCACAAATTTTAAGTCTATAACTTAATTAATTTTATACATATATATGTATACACTAATGTATGATATTTTACCTATATATAGATGTATATATATTTGTGTTTGTGTAACTAGCTCAAAATATAGAACATTTCCAGCACCCAGCAGGCTCTCTTGTATCCCTTCCAGTTGATAATCCCAAGGGAACTACTTCTCTACCTTCTGCAACCATAGGTTAGGGATGCTGGTTTCTGAACTTCACATAAATGGATCTATAATGACAAGGTTATTTTTTGTACTGTTCAAGTCAGAAGACCATGGCTGAGTTATTTTGTAGTAATAAAACTAAAACATTTTGATGTTGTAGAAAGTGTGTCTCATTTTAATATATCACAACGCTGCTTCATCTGTGTGCAAATTAAGAACAATGTATGGATGTTAGCCTTGGTAGATATTAAGATTTTGTCCTACATAAAAGGAGGCACTAAATTCTGCTACTTTATTTCTTGGTAATCCTTTTCTTTAACTGTGATTAAAAAACAAAAACAAAAACATAATAGTTGTTTCCAGATTACTTCTGGGCTGACATTTGTCTCAAAATGATATCGTACCTTTTTTTTTGTTTTTCATACTTTGGCTTAAAAGTCAAAGCCTTATCTAGTTGTGTTACCTTTATGAACAATTTTTAAAGCACTTTTCAGGATCCAAAAAATCACTGTGGTAACTTAAAGCATATTCCTGAGTTCAGACCTTAATTACATGGATGATATGTGCTTTGGATTCTAAAAAAGGATTATGATTGCATGTGTGAAAATGAAAGTAGAGTTCAGCATGTTAAAGCTTCCAAGTTAGCAGTAAACTTCAGAGTTCTCTTTGCACCCTCTGTTAACCAAAAGAGTAGTTATTTGGGTTCAAAGAATAACTTCATAAAAATGAGGTAATTTTTAAGGCCACCAATCTCTGTGCACTTGGGTCCTGTATGGAACTAGGAATTGCCCTGCAGTCATCTTTGCTATTAGATTTGATGTTTCTATTTTATCAAAGACTGTTTTAAGCAGAGATTTTCCAAACCTTTTTGAAAAAGTCAAAACCCAAGAATATTGTTTTATTTATACCTAAATATACATGTGCTCATTCTCATTAGAAGACATTCAAAACAGAAATCAGCTTGATTTTAAGGCTTAACTCTGCAATTCTCTCCTAAGATTTGGGCTCCAGAAATAGCCACCTATCCATCAGGATTCCATAACCAACAGCAAATGCTGTCTTGGGACAAGTTGGATTACCTGATGAATGAGGAACAACAGCTGCTTTGGCAAGAGAATGAGAGACTCCAAACAGTGGTCCAGAACACCAAAGCAGAACTCATACACTCCCGGGAGAAGGTAAGTTGAAAAGTTGCACATGGTGGTGTGTGTTTGAAAATGAATGAGATGATTGCAGTGATTCTAGGGTATGGATTTGAGTATTCTGCTGCAGGAGACTTATTTTCAGAATGTATAATTTATCATTTACTTGCAATATAATTTTATCATATGTCTATATCATGTTTTTCATTTCATATAAGCAGTGGTAAATTTAAATCTGTGCTTTTATGAATGGAAATTATGTTAACCATATATTCCTCATTCAAGTAGGCTAGCTGCTGAGACTGGTAGTACAAAAATGGCAAAACTAGACTCAAATCTTATGGGTCTAAGTCCTTGCAAGAGAAAAGGTACCCCTTTTTAAAGACTCAGCATTTCAAGGTTAGAATGGTCCTTGAAGATAATCTTTTCCAATAACTACACTGATATTTAAAGTCTTTACCTCTGCTAAGTAGTCGACCAACTATGTTTAACCTACGCTTAAATACCTCTTTGAAGGAGGAACTCTCTTTTTTAAGAGTCACAGATACTCACTTAGAACGCCTACACTGTGCCAGAAACTCTGCTGTCAGTAAAGTTACAGTGTTGAACAAGACTAAACATGGTCGCTGTCCTCATGGAACTTAGTTGATGTAAACGCATTGTTTCAGGTGTGAAGACTCCAATACAAAGTCACTGGAACTGTCACTCCCTTCACTCCTAAAAGTTATGCTTACAGCAGAGCAAAGGTGCCTAGGACTATGTCTGTTCTCTTGGCAGCCACATCGCGATTCTCAGTGGTTTGGCTGAGCCAGAAGTGCCCACTTCCCTGTCTGATCCATTCAGTGTTGGGATTTTAGACCCAACTGGACGAAAGATAGATTTGTCTAGGGAGGATCCTTTCAAATCCAAAAAAGTAGGCTTCAGGAATTGGCAGATCTATATACTTCAATTAAAAAATAATAATAAATAATTTTAAAAGTTAAAAAGAAAGAATTGGCAGACTTGACTGGAAAAAGTTTTTTTTATAACAGAACAAAACACAAGTACTGAATAAAAACTTTCCTTATGTTTGCTTTTTGTTTTTCCTGGCTGGGTGGTTATTTATTAGCACTTCTTTCTCTTACACTTGTTTTTAGGTCCGTCAACTGGAGTCCAACCTTCTTCCTCCTAAGCACCAAAAACATCTGAACTCATCAGGTACTGTGAAGCCCACAGAGCAGGAGAAGTTGAGCTTAAAGAGAGAGTGTGAACAGTTTCAGAAGGAACGATCTCCTACTACTAGGAAAGTGAGTTTTTGCGAGTTTATACCAGTGTCTTTGTTCTGACTGTGATGCGTCCCTAAGTGTATGTTGCTTCCCCTGCATGCTTCCAAGGAAATGATTACAATGGCATACTCTGGTTCTTCCTTATATCTGTGCTTTTGTAATCTTGTCAAAACAGTAGCATAGTTCTTTTTGACTGGGTGATCACTGAAAAGGAGTAATTTAAGTTTTCATAGAGAGGATGGTAATCATCTTCATTAATATCACAAGCCTTTACAAGTTAGTAAAACATATATATACCCTCAATATTAGGAATATCTTAATATGGTTTATATTAGTTATCTATTGCTCTGTAACAAACTAAAACAGCAAAAATTTATTGTCTCAGTTTCTGTGGGTCAAGAATTTGGAAGCAGCTTAACTGAGTGGTTCTGGCTCAGGGTTTCTCAGGTCTGAGGTTGCAGTCCAGATATCAGATGAGGCTGCATTTACCTGAAGGCTTCACCAGAACCAGAGGATCCACTTTCACGTTCATTCGTATCACTGTTAGGAGGAGGCTTCTGTTCCTTGCTGGCTGATTGCCAGAGGCTCAGCTCCTCACCACCTGGGCCTTATCTCAGAATGTGGCAATGAGTGATATGAGAGTGATCCCAAAAGACCAAGATGGAAGCTGTAGTGTGTTTTATAAGCTAATCCCAGAAGTGACACACCATTATTTCTGCTCTATTCTGTTGGTCACACAGACTAACTCTGGTGTAGTGTGGGAGGGGATATTGCAAGGCTGTGAATACCAGGAGATAGGAATCACCGGGGACCATCTTGGAGGTTGGCTACCATGTGGTTAAACCTCTGTAGCACCACTCAGTTTGCTTTCTATTCTTTGTTCTAACTTAGAGTTCTAGACCAATGTTACTCTGGGAGTTCTTGTTTGTTACTTTTCTTTCTTTCTTTTTCTAAACTAAAACTCAGAGTTTTCACCACAGGCATACCTTGGAGGTATTGCGGGTTCAGTTCCAGACCACCACAATAAAGTGAGTCACAGAACAGTTATATTTCCACTATGCTGTAGTCTAAAAACAACATAAATACTTTAAAAAAATCTTTATTGCTGAAAAAATACTAACAACCATCATCTTCAGCAAGCTGTAGTAGTGACATCAAAGATCACAGAACACCATAACAAATATAATAATTAAAAAGTTTGATATATTGCAAGAATTATGAAGTGTGGCACAGAGACACAAAGTGAGCAGATGCTGTTGGAAAAGCGGCACCAGTAGACGTGTTCCACACAGGGTTGCCACAAACTTTCAGTTTGTAAAAAAACTCCCTATCTGTGAGGCTCAGTAAAAGCCAAGTGCAATAAAACAAGGTATGCCTATGTTTCCTTCCTCTTCTGAAAATTATTGTTTGTTTAAAAATCTGGGAAGAATGATGAACAGTCATTTACTTTCATTATAAAATTTTCATAAATTTTTTTTAAGTTTGTGAGAGTTATGACCATTGTCAGTAAAGCCACCTGCCTTAAGGAACCTATTCTATGTGAGGAGTGGTGATTAAAAAGTAAATCAACTATACTTCAATTTTTTTTTAAACATAAAAAACTAGACTACTTAAATGTAATCAAGGCACTGAATTATACTGTATGCTGTTTTCCCTCGATGAATGAACTCAGTTTTCTTTCATGAGTTGAGATTTCTGACTAGTGTAAATTTGTCAAAATAAAGTAGAGCAACTCAGGTGTTTTTTTTTTTTTCTTAAGGGTTTGTTGTTGTTGTTGTTTTTAACAGGTTAGTCAGATGAATTCCCTTGAACGAGAATTTGAAACAATTCATTTGGAAAATGAAGGCCTGAAAAAGAAACAAGTAAAACTGGATGAGCAGCTAATGGAGGTACGTTTTTTAAGCAAATGGCCCTAGCTATGAAGAATATTTTAATCCATGAATGAGCCATTTGTTGAGATAAACTAGCATAGTGTTAGATTCCTATTATGAAAACAATGAAAATCTAAGTGTACTGCCAAGATGGATTCTTTGGTCTGTCTTACCAAGTTTGACAGATATTTTTGCTAATTACACAGTCATAGGAATACATACTGTTTCACCAAGGAAGGAATAATGTTGATTATCCTAAAATGCAAGGACCTGCACTTCAACAAATTCAAGTGGCAAAGACTCAGTCCAATACTGACCAAGAGGCTGAGAGCTCTCGCTCTATTGCTGTAGTTGTAATAATTTTCCTGATACCTCCCATAATGTCATGTTTTATAGATATGATTGCACTCTAACAACCTGCTTAGTTAGGAAATGCATGCAGGGAATTAAGAGCATTAGCATTTAGAGGTTTAATTTTCAAGTGTTGCCATTGTTCACAACTACATTTGTAACTCAGCACCGCCTTGTGAGAGGGACATCTGTTAAATATGAAAATGGATTTGTAAAACTTGGCAGCTTGGACACTGAGTTTCCTGTCTAATAGACTGCTTTCTGAATACTGAGTTACAAATATATGATATAAAACAACCTATGTTAAATCCTCCTTATTAAGTAAAAATTTCATTGAGTTACTTGGCTTTGGGTAGATCAAAATATTAACCCAACATTTAGTGACCTGTAAAATTTATATAAGGTAGAGAGGCATGGGTAGAAAATGTCTTTTTGTGTTCTTAAAAAGTATTATGTATACAGATATTTTTAAACCAGAATTATAGGAGGGAAATGAGATATTTAAATACTTTCTTTTATGAAGCTGGAAACATGCAAAGGTAAGTTTCAGTAGATGCTTAGTTTTAAATATGAAATATGGGCAAACACATCACATTGACATTTAAATGTCAGTTTTATGTTCTCTGATTTATCCGTTAATAGGGAGATTAGTGGAACTATAAAGAATGAAATCCAAACTATTTTTTTCTTTCTCTGACAGCATATAATAAATGTGTTCAAAACCTTGAGCTGCAGGCTGTGTTTAGATGTAGATATGCTTTTCTGATAAAATAATTATATGCTCTAATGAATAAAATATCTGAAGCTAAGTGTGACATGTCTGGTACCAAAGTAACAAGTAGCAGGGTGTACTTAAGCACTGTTAGAGCCTCTCCACGTGCTCTGCCAACAGGCCAGTTCTTCTTCCACCTGCTCTCTGGCCTCAGAAGCCACCTTCTCTCCAGGTCCTACTCTAACATTATTAGTCATCAAAAACAATTTCCCCTCATGACCTTTCTCCATGATCTAGGAGTAAATACTTAATAATGGATGAGAGAAATTGAGTGTTTTTGGCACTGGAGCTGAATAACTAAAGAAAAAGCATGAGTTTTCAATTGGAACACTGAAAAGAACATCTCATACACTATTCTAACAAAACTTTCATCAGGAAATAAGACTGAGCTATTAACTCTGTACAGACATACAAATTCTATTCTTTAGCAGCTTTATTAAATGTAATTCACATACTACACAGGTCACCTGTTTAAAGTGTCTAATTCAGTGAGTGTGGGTATATAACATTATCTTTTTAAATTGTGGTAAGTATAAACATAAAAATGGTTAAAATGGCAAATTTTGTGAGGTGGCATTCAGTGGCACTAATTACATTTATAATGTTCCACAACCATCACCACTGCTTCTAAAATTTTTTCATTATCCCAAATAGAGACTCTAACCATTAAGCAGTAACTCTCCATTTCCTCCTTCCCACTAGCTCTACAAATTGCATTTTTATGTCATGGTATCTATAGCTTAGGCCAAATTTGGCGATGAACAATGGTTTTCACATTGTTTTTTGTGTCCAACTCACCTAAGGGATAGGTACCTTCCTCTTGCTCTGGGATGGATTCTCAGCAGGTTCAGGGGAGGGGCAGTAGGCAGGCAGAGAGATGCTCCTACAGCAGAATCTTTGGGATCAAGGAATTTAGGAAAAACTTTCTACGTGATTCTGATCTGATGTATTCATTCCTTGGGGGGAAGGGGTTTCTCCTTGTCCCTGTGTGCCAGTTTAAAAGTCACTGATGTAATATAATACTCCTACCACAGTGTAATTAAAGATACTGAATCACTAGACAAGGAAATGGAAGAATTTGACTCCCACTCCAGGATTTTTTTCAACTCTATGAGGAAATGTTCTATAAACAATTCATTTTGAACACTCCAAAAAAAAAAAGGGGGTTATAGACTATCAGCAGTTCTCAAAGTCTGTTGTGTACCTCTGATAGCCAACAGTTCAGACGCTTGAACAACAAAAATGTTTTATAGCTTATATTCTGCATTTCCAAATGGCAAGGTTTGTTTAACATCAGATCCATTCCATACTGGACTTGGAATCTTCTGAATAATTATACTGGGATGGGCAGAGGCAAAGGTAGCAAGTTCAAAAACCAACTAAATTGCAATAGGTGAGAAAGTGGCTGCAGAATTGGAGCTATAAGATATTTTAGTATCTGTAAAATTTATATACAGAGAAATGTAAATGTTGGTCCTTTATGAGTGCCTACTGACTAGCGCACATTGTTCAGGTATATAATATTGAACTGTTCTTTCTCTTTATAACTCGAACTTTTCTTCCTCTTTTGTAACTCCTGTAATTTTCTTTTGTTTTTTGTTTTATCTGTGGCTAACCTGTACCTAGAACTCTGTGGTTGGAACTAGCAGAGAAGGGTGCAGTTCTCTGCCTGAGATAGTGTGTGAAGGTAGAACAATCTCTTTCAATGAATTTCATAGCATGCCAACACCTCATTAAACTCCTTGTTCATGTAGTCATTTCTACTGACTGTAACAGTTAATAAAAACTTAAGGTAAGAGCCAATATTCATTTTCATTTTGCTTCAACTGTGGAATGTCTCTGTTTACATTTATATCAGGATTTTCCTCAGTATTTAAAAATGTGTGAAGAAAATCATCCCACTGATATAAAGTCAAGGGATCATAATTCTTCATATTATTTATTCTTGAAAATAAAGTGGTGGGTTTTCTGAATCTCTAAATAGAAATATTTCAAAATGGGTAACACCCCACCTCAGAAAGAAATTCAGATATAAGGAAATGAATAGTGGCTCTGAAGTTTCATGGTAACATTTTAATTGTAGTTGTGTCCTAGAGAGCCTTTTCCCCTTCTCACAAGCCTGGGGGTACTTCTTCTTGACTTTGGTACTTGGTCAAGTTTGTTGCATGACTTCCATTGAGCCGTCTGTCTGCTGAATGTGTTGACAGCTGGGAAGTGGCATGCTGCACCAGCCAAATGTAGCGCATTCTCCTCCTTTCCCTCGCCCCAACTTTGATTGGCATGTGATACACATACCATTTCCTCACTGTCTTGAACAAATACTTTTATCCCATGTACTTCAAAGCCCAGATGTTCTAGGGTATCACATTATAGCCTAGAATTGCCTGTATGATAAACTAAGGTAGGCTAAAATAATTTTAGGTATGAGATCCTTCAAAAAAAAATGCTAACTTGGAAAAAATGTAGCCATTGAATATTTGCTTATGAGAATCTTTAAGAATGATAAGTAAAGTGGCAAAACCCTAAAGCATAACCACTTTCTCCCCTTAGCCTATTCCAACCTGTTTTTTAAAATTTTAAGAGAGGCATAATTAAATGTTCTAGTGTAAGGAAAAAAATGAAGTAGAATTCAGACATATGTACATCGTGTACCTCATGTCCTTATGGTCACTCATGAGTGAGGAAGTACAATTTTTTAAGTCTAAAGCTTTTAAGAAGGCCTGCTTATTCATTAAATATATTGCCTCCTAAACAAAATGATTCTTTATTCTTACTCAGGATCACGTGCTGTCCTGTTTTCAAGTTATTTAATGAATTCATAGTCTTCCTTACTCTCTGCTTGCCACCTTAGAGGGCAGCTCTGTGGTTGAAGGTACTGCAGCTGATCAGGCCTTTGCCCTTACCCTCCAGATGCAGCGCCTGAGGTCCACTGCGATGCTTAGCCCATCCCCTCATGCTCGGGATCTGCCGCTGCTCCAGCAGCAAGTCTGTCCGATGGTTCCCAGGGAGCAGTTTCTGCAGCTTCAACACCAGCTGCTGCAGGCAGAAAGGATAAACCAATGTCTGCAGGAGGAACTTGAAAACAGGACTTCTGATACCAACACACCACAGGTATGAAGATCTTTCTCTAATAGTATACTCAGATCACCTAGTTTAATTTTACCTGTTTGTTTGAAAGTTATACCAGTTCAAACGTGGGGATGAAGAAGCGAAGTCTTCTCTCTAGACTTTTACACCTTGCCTGTATTACAAATCCACAGAACTGCAGTGCTGCTCTGGTTTTGGTGTCTTCAGTGCTGCTTTTGAGCTCTCAGCCTCTGTGCTGTGTAATTAAGTGTTCTGGGTCTCCTTTGCACATTTGTAATTGATGATGAAGTATCAGGATCACTTGAGCTCTGCACACTTGACCTAACACTCTTGTCTGATGCCAAAAACATTATAGAATTCAAGTGCAGCTCTAGGCTATGTATTACTAACAAAGCATCCTGGGTTTTCCTGTACTAGAGAGAGTGCAGCCTGCTGAGTTCCATGGAATGCATAAATGGGGACTTTTCACAACTAACAAAGTAGAATGTGTGATTAGTGACTTTTTTAGTTGACATAGTTTATTTAACTTAATTTTTAATGCTCTAACTTGAAAAACTTTTTTAAAGAAAATATTTTCCCCTTCCCTTAGAATTAGCGTCATCCCAGCTCACTACCAGACACAATCTTTTATTACCAAGGTTTTCGAAGTTATTTCTCTGTAGTGTTTCATTCATGATCCTCCTTTTTCAAGTCTCAACTCTTTAGTCTTGCCCATTTAGTCTATTCAGAATTAGAAATAAAATAAAAAATACTCCTTAGTTTGTAGAATTCTAAAATAATTCGTTCTAGTTTGGCTATTCTTTTTTCAAATACCTTGCCTCTCAGCAGACATTTGACAAGGAATTTCTCAACTCTTTCTGTAAACCCCTCAAAGTGGCTTTGCCAAGTCACATTAGCACCATAATTGTATACTGGAGCAATTCTGTTTTCTTCTCCTTTTAATATATCTATGCTTTTGCATGATGTACTTCTGTCTTCTTTCTAACAGAGGTTTAAAATCCATGTTTTTGGAAGCTTCCTATATTTCAATTCAATTTCCAAATACTGAAATTTAATCAGGAGTTGTGATGGTGGGTATTAGATGCTTCAAGTCTTCCTTACAGAACTGAATTATAAACCTGACCTCAGTTTTTAACGGAATATTAAACCAAATGTTTAGGCTAAGATCCTGCACACTGCTTTCTCGTCTGCACTGTTTTCAAAGTGTGCTCTTCCCACACCACCCACCGATGTTTCAAAGTAAAAAATAGCCTTTTACTCTAATTACTTCAGGATTTGATAGATAAAAACTGGCAAGACTTTTATGCTAAAAAAAAAATTCCTCCAGTGAGATGGCAGGGTGGACTGCTTATTGCTCTCACTAGACCACAGCAGGCTCTCCTGATTCCGGTAACTAAGCTGACACTAATTTTAAGAATATGGAACATTATTAGAATCTGTATGTTGTCTGTGTGTGATTTGATTTCCTCTGCCTTTGTGTTCCTTCGCTTGTGTATGTAGTATTGATGTGTGCTTTTAAAAATTGTTTGCATTATAAATGTGTGAATTTAGACTCCCCCCTAAAAAACATAATCTTGACATCGGGGTGAAGTGTACCACTTGCCTTCTTTCTCTAGGCCTTGCTACCGGAGCAGCGAGCGGTGCATGCAGATTCCTACAGAAGGATTGGGCACCTGTGAAAACTGGGCTGTTATTGATGGCATTTCTTACCATGGCAGACACTCAAATGCACACACTCATGCACACCACACAAACACAGAGCCATAAGCTGAGAAATATTTTGGAATCAAGTGATCTTTTAAGTTTATTGTTGTTGTTGTTATTATTATTATTATTATGCCTTTGCAGTATTATGTTTCTTATTTATGTAGAAATGAGATTCTGTGAATCAAATTCACGAATTTCAGTTTGTTATAATTATTTATACCATTTAAAGAGTGTGGATTTGAGATTCTTGAAAGGATGTAGTCTATATATTTTCTCATTCCATATGTTGTAACTATTTTTAACAAATTATTACTTTTATATATGGAATTTGAAGAAAATCAGGGTTATTTATACTGTTTTATATAAGATGTATAATACTTTTTTGACAGGAAAAAGGAAATTTTTGATGAAATAAAATAAATTTTAAATATGACTGCTTTTGTTTTTCCTTTCTCTACTCTCTTGCCATGCCCTGTGTTCTTTGAATTGTCTGTTATTTTTTGTTTTGCCTTTTTTTTAAGGCAACTGGAAATTGGGCATTTTCCATTTATGTTTGAACTTTAAAAAGCCATTATATCTTTTAAAACGTAGAATTTTTAGATGTTCTGGAGGCCTGTTTCTTGAAATTTACTTTGTGCATTAATCTTCTGCTTACTACAATTTTTGTCTTCAAATTAGTTGCACAGTTTAGTTTCTTTTATGCCTGAATAAATGCTATTATTTAATATCCAAACAAATGTTAGCTTTTAACTTACATTTGATCATTCTATGTGCTTATTTAAAGGACACCTTTTTGAAAGTATTTTTAAGGACAGGTTATGCCATCAGCCATTAACACCTGAGTTTTGCTTAAACATTTGAAGAACATTTTAAAATCTGAAATTCCTTATATGAACATTTTGGTGGACTGGGAGAAGGGGCATTCAGTCCCACTCTAAATCTTCTTCTAGGTCCCTCTGCTCTCCAAAACCCACAAACTCCTTAATCTAGCACTGCTGTGTGAGGGGAGAAGGACAAGCTGTTTTTTGTTTTTTCCCTCTATTTTATCTAGGAGTTGTTTATGGGGAGAAGATTTTCAGTTTTAAATCTATTCCAATGATAAACCCATCCTTCAATCCAGATATTTGCTTCAATTGACAAGTCAATTTGGGAAACTCATAACTAGAATAACTAGCAGGAAGAGGCTCATTATTATGAAGAATAAATTATTAACACCCTCACAGTAATCAGCAATTTCAAAGGAAAAAGACACACACTGCTACTGATTAAAAATGTTAGGTGATCCTGAATAAACTTAATTTTTGTTTACTTTGTTGTTGAAAGGCCCACAGTATTGCAAATACCCAAATCACAGATGAAAGGTTGACAACCATTTTTTAATTAACTTTTGATAATACCTGTTTTACTATAAGAAGTACACATAGGTCTTAAATTATGGGTTTTAAGAATTTTGCTTTATCTCAGGGGAAGATAGTAACACAGGTAAGATTTTTTTTTTAAATTTTTGATTCTTTCTCTGATAGGGTTACTATTCTCACACGTGCAACCCATGCAGTGTTCAGAACTTCCATTTCATCAGAAATCCACCCTTCCTGTTACAAAGGCAAACATTTGCTGTCCTTTCTCTAGGCATCTTGTGGGGAAAATTATCTACTAGTGTTTTTGTGTGCGATAATTTTCAAATGAGAATATACTTTTCTTTCTTTCCTTCAGGAAAACCAGGAACACCTGGTAACTGTCATGGAGGAACGAATGATGGAAGTTGAACAGAAGTTGAAGCTGGTGAAAAGACTTCTTCAGGAGAAAGTGAATCAGCTCAAAGAACAAGTGAGACTCCCAGGTCATCTCTACCCACCCACCTCACATTCCAGTTTTAACTCCAGTTTTACATTCCTTTATTGCTATTAACTTGTTAACTTTCATTGTCTAATAAGGGCAAATCCTATTATAAATGTTTAGAAGAACTTAGGATTCACTCTCTCCCATACCACTTCAAAAATAAGAATTCTGTATTCTACATTATTTTTTCCAAAGCTCTTTTGAGTCATATGTTAGTCTGCAATTTTAAAACATGTATATTTGCTAACAGTGATTCACATGGACCTAAAGCATTTCTAACGAGGTTCAACTCAAATTGAATTTTTATAGTTTTTTTTCCCAAGAGAAGAAATATTCCCATTTAAATAAATAGAAAGTTTACATTGGTAAAAAAAATTAGGGGTAATAGATATAACTTTAGCTTTCCTATTTACAACAACTATGACAACCTCAAAAACTACCTTATGGTTACAGCCAGACTCCAAAACGCTGTGTTTTGAATTAGAATCTGACTCTGAAATCCAGGATCACTAAGTAGTACCTTGATCCTTTTCTCATGCTGGCGGCAGGTGTGGCCTCAGTGTTTAGAAATTTTGTGTGTATCCACTGCAAAAAGGACTACTTTTTAGGAAAGTTTTATAACTTCTTTGGAATCTGAGATTGAGATGAACTATGGCAGGGGGTGGGGTGGAAATTGCCCAACCTGGTTTTTTAGATTCATAAAACCGAAGAATAATAACCCCAAGAGAAAGTCTTAATGCAGAGGTAGATACAGTTCTTTGCACTGTATCGTAATACACAGAATAGAGATAAAGTCCTATACAAGCATTTACTGAGTCAACCCTTTAATCATTTATTCAACACGTAGTTACTACATGCCAGTTCCTGTTTTAAGCACTAGAGACAGATCAGCGAACAAAACAAAACCCCTGCCTATACGGAGTGTAGTTCACCTACAAGGTACTGAGCATTTGGCCAGGTAGTACTTTCAAAAATATAGAAAATGCGTAACATACGGGTTGTGGACATCTATAAACACTTTGGCATTAACAGTTCATCCTGTCCTGGGAGAAGCAAAAGAAATGAGAGATAGAAAAGAGTGAACAGTAGAGGGTCTTATGTGCTAAGCTAGAGTTTGAATTTCATTCTGTAGTAGATATATTACAGATATATTACTGGTCATCATTACTGGTCATTACTGAGTCATCAAAGCGTTTTTTAATAAGGGAGGGAAGGAAGGAGGAAAGGTTGTACTAAAGCAGTTCAGTAGACAGTAGGTTAGTATTATGTTACACTTGCCAGTCATCTAGGTTCTGGACTTCAGCTTGAAAGCCGTTGTCATTGCCCTCTGAAATGCTATTATGTAAATTAATTATCCACTCCTTAGTTTTCTCTATTCCCTTAAACCTTTATACTTGTAGATGCCCTGCTTGAAACTGGGTGTCAAATGAGGAGTTAAAGGTGTAAAGAAGGAAGGGAGATTGGAAGATATTAACAGGAGCAATAATAAAATTATCCCAAGACTGCTGACAGGTTTTCCCACCTCAACTTAAACTATATAATCTAACCATGAAGATTAGAATATATTTTCTAGACAAGGTTCTATGCAAAGAAGAGTTTAGGAAAAGTAATTGCCCAAATCTTCTCTCTTTGTTGTAATACATGAGCCAAATTTTAAAATAATCAGTAGGTTGTATGCAGTTATGAATGGGAGGCTCAAGAATCTGTTGTTAAGAACAGAGTTAAAACATAGTTCACATCCTACACCTCAGAAATTTAAGTTATTTTGGTATTTTTAGAAAATGAATAAATGAATAATACCTAATTTATTTAGGTCGAAAAATATCTTCATTTTTGAGCCCTCAAATATCAATCTGTCCTTTTTATTAGTGACTTTTACAAACATACAATGCAACAAAACAGCTTGGAATAAGTGGATTTGCTCTACTTGTATCCCTGGTGCCAAGTCTGACGTTAAAGCTGTATTATAAAATAAAAGACTATAATTGATAGAAGCCATTTCCCTTTATAAACAACTGTCCTTATGTCAGAACTTAAATTTAAAAGAATTACAGAAATGGAGTCAAGATGTTTCTGGTTCTGTTTCTAGCTCTGCAAGAATACTAAAGCAGATGCGATGGTGAAGGATCTGTATGTTGAAAATGCCCAGTTGTTGAAAGCTCTGGAAATGACTGAACAGCGACAAAAAACAGCAGAAAAGAGAAATTACCTCCTAGAAGAGAAGATTGCCAGCCTCAGTAATATAGTCAGGAATCTGACACCAGCACCACTGACTTCTACACCTCCCTTGAGGTCATAGCCAAGCCAAAGGATACACTCAAGAGTTGTGCACTTTACTGAAATGGATGGAACATTTCAGTATGTTCTTTCAAACTTCTTTTTTTTTTTTAAAGAACTTTGATGGCTTAAAGTTAAGCCTGACCTAAAACTTCCAGCAACAGAATTAAAGCCTCTATTCACTGTAATTAGTTTTCCTAAATAGACTATAATGGGAGTTGCAAATAAATACATATTTCACTGTTTGAATTATTCCCAAGCTTTGAATTTTAAAAGATATTCTAATAGCCATCCAAGAAGGTGATATGAAAAGAACTCAAGAATATTAAGACCCTAGTTTTGAATGAGTTTTAAAAAAATCACTCTTATGTACAAATTATCATCTACAAATTGCAGATATTTTAAATTTGAGGTATTATTAGTTAGTTGTTTTAATCTTTATTCTAAAACCAAACGTTGTGTCTTCTCACGTATTTAAACATGGAAAAGTCATTCTGTTTCTAATAGTTTTGGTTTTTTGAGTTAATTGGTAGACTTTCTGTTTGGTTACAGAAGCTGGGCTCAATAACCACTGAGATCAGAAAAGCCGGAGCCCACAGAACTCTACCCGCTAGCACCGATGACAGTATTACCACTCTTGATGTATTACAGATATAAAACCGATTTGCTCAGCTGCACTGTTAACTAATGTTAAAACTTTACTTTCTTTTCATAGCCTTTTTTCCCCCCTTCTTAGAAATTTCATTTGGGAGTTTGTCTTCTCAGAAATGGATAAAGCCACATTCTTAAAGCATTTGAACTACAGGGTAAGCACTGAACAAACTGCTTTGGAGTAAACAGCCACTCCTAGAAAAGAGAGAAGCAAACCATGTGGGTTTTTCTCTCTCTAAAGTCTTGGAGTTCATGAACTTACATTTGGGGTTGCCTCAACAACTCAGGGAACAATACTTTAAGCTGTCTTCCTGAAATACTGTAGGGCCTCTTTAAAGAATTTGAAATGTATAAACCATGTGACCTTATTTATTTGTCTTATATTTAGAGCCATAGTGGGATTTTTATTTCTAAATTTTTAGTGAATTTAATCTTCTGGAAAAAAGCCTTGATTAAACTCTAAAGAGTTTAAAAGCTGTTCTAAAATATAGAAGAATTATTATTTGCTTGTTTGTTTAATATGGGTCAAGATTTCCATGCTTCCTATTCCTCTGCACCTCAGATCTGATAAGAATTTCTAACTTGATAAGCACTGGCATGCCATCTGAGGTAAAGGAGTCCCAAATGGGATCTTCCATTCAGTCTCCCAGAATGTTACAGAACAGTAAACATTTGGATAACTTTTTTTTCCCCCCAAATAAAATCTCGTCCTCTAGCCCACCACAGCCAACAGTTGGTAGAGTACTTACTATGTGTGGGACACAAACAGAGCTTATCACAGCCACCTATTTGTTTTGGTGGAAGAGTAATTAATCACAAAACTTCACTTTGATGCATTCCAGGAAAGCCAAGCGCATCGATTGGTAAGAGGTATGACAGCAAAATCAAACACTGCTGTATGGGCAGGAACAAAAGAAGCAAACTGCTTAAGAAGTCATGTCAAAAACTCTCTCTACAAAATAATTTGCACTAAGGAACTTTAGAATTCCTCAGGCCTAACCATCTATTAGTCCCACCTGCCAACACAGGAGTCCTTGCTACCAGGGCCCTGACAAGGCATGACCATTTGTGGGACTGGGAGATCATAATCAAGAAGCAGACTTTTTCATTTTTGGACAGTTCTATTGTCAGAAATTCCGGATTTTCCCCTGGAAAAGAACTAATTTTAACCCTTTCCTATAATTACACTTCCAAACATTTGTTGTCTGCTATCATGCCTTCCCTGATCTTTCTTCAGTGCAAACATTACTAGTAACCTCAACGACTTGTGTGGCATTGACTTTAACAGAGAATCTTTTTCACTTAAAACTGTTGATATGCCTAGGTTAAGATCATAAATAAACTAAATTATCTGTACTGTACTTATGTGATATGCTTTAAGTTACTCGAGGTTTTTGCCATCAGAACTGAACATCAAGCATATTTCTCAAATAGATTGCTTAGCCTATGATCATATGTTATATTTTTTATTTTTATTTTTTACATTATGAAAAGTGTAGGTTAATTTGTTTATTTCTTATAAATTTGTATTTATGTGTATATAAGATGTTGTACAATAAATGTAAATATGACTTCTGGAAAGTTTTAGACTACATTTAGAGTCCCTTTATCCAAAAGCAAAATGCTGCTCAAATGAAAGTTAATTTAACTAACGTCTCGGTGCTTACTTCTTGCTTTACTGCACTCATAAGATTGGGAAAAAGATCAACATGAGAAATAGAGTTACCTTAAATTTATACATTTGTGCAGCAGATTACTTTTGTAGACTAGTTTAGAGTGGGAATTTAACTGGCAACTTAGAATATAGCTTACAGCTTTTAAAAGACCTTTTAAAGAAATTAAACTATTAAATGTTTAGATTTTGCTTTCAGACTTTATAATAGAACTCTTTAAAATCACAAGTTATGTCTTATTTCATAGGCATTTAACTCCTTGTTCATTAAAAAGTACTGGTTCCTTAAATTCTCTTCATTTCTTAAGAACAGTTACTTAGTCTTAGAAGATAGAATCTTCATTTCAAGGAAAGAGAATCAAGTTTGCCTTTGTGATAATGTTACCCTTAGAAAAGGAAAATGTAGATAAAACCTAGATTGTTCTATTTGCTTTCTTCTGCTTTTTAGAAGCCTGAACTCTTATGCTTAAACCTGTGAAGGGAGAGAAGTAGAAGGAGAGGGGTAGAACCAAACATAGTATTTTATTTATTTTTCTAAAATTTAATAAACCCAGATTTTAAAAACTATTTTAAATATGAATTCTTCCCAGAAGCTTCAAATGCATTGTTCATGTATTTAACCTTAAACATATTTTACATAAATAGATCACAAAGTCATAGGCTTTCCAAGTATAGAAGGAGTTCTCACAGGTCTAGTATTTCAATAATGTACAAATACCAAGGGCAGGATTTCTGTTTTTTGAAGAATGAATAAGACTTTATGATGGATTTAACATGTGAAAATGAGTTTCTCATTTTTGTGATTTTTTTTTTTCTGAGCGAAGGAAAAGAGAAATAAATGTGTTGATATTGTCAGCATTTTCAAGGCAAGGCTAAGTGCTTTGTAATAGTATTAAGCAAGCTTTGTTTTGAACAGATAACCTAATAATTCATTGGAATGATATGTAAGTAACGCCAAAGCTAAGTCAAAACCTAATAACCGAAGCATTCCTTATTTAAAACTTATTCATTGTATCATGTTTGGACTTATCTGAACACCTCAGCACTCTAAAATAGTTTTGGTTTTATGACATATGTATAGCTGTTTATTAATAAATACAAGTTAGCTTTTTGTTTCTTAGATTTTTTTGAATAAGTTATATCTATTCTTATGAGAAGACATTATCACATTGGGGACATTGATTTTGTGAAGGAAAACCTGAGTTTATCTAAAGCCATCACTAGGATTCTTTTCATGTAAAGATTAATGTGTATGTGTTTATATCAACTTTGTATATTTCCTATTAGCCATTCTGTCCTAGATATATTTTACCAAGAGCTTAAAATGTAAATAAATAATTTTGTAAACACGGCTCTTGTTTTCTATACACCCTAAACATTTAGAAACAGTTTCAGTATGTTTACCGTTGGTCTTTGAAGTGAAAGCATCAAAACATTGCACTAAACACATTCTACAAATGCAGAATCTCAGCCCCGCTCCAGACTTACTGAATCAGATTCTGCAGTTTAAAAAAACCCCCAAATGATTTGTGTGCAATTTAGAGTGCCAGGATTCTACTTCTGTCACAGAATTGATGACTTTCACACCAGCCATTTTGAGATCCCTGTACCCTGTGATGGTTCATAATTTACTTTTAAAATCCTGACAACCTCATGCGAGGCTGTGCTTCAGATTTTGGGTGCTTCAGAGGTGGCATTATTTCACTCTGTCATATTTATGGTGACTCAAAATTTTTTATTTGAGCTGCTTATGAATAATAAGATATATGCAACTAGTAGCACAAAAAGTTAACCTAAAACACATTAAGTTAATATGCTGAGTACTAAAATGTAGAATGGAAATACTGGCCAAACTAGATTCATCTCACAAGGCTTGTTCTATTTGCAAAGCTTCTATACCAATCTCATGCTGCTTTTTATGAGGCAGGAACTATTATTATCCCTGCTTTACAGATGAGAAAACTGATAATTAGGAAAGTTAAGACTTACTCAAGGCCACAGCCAGCTAAGAAGGGGACTCAAGACTCCATGCAGGTTTGTCTGTATTAGTATGTTGCAACAGGTATCAATTTCTACTTCTGGCAAACAACACTTAATCTGAGTTGACTGAATACCTATCATGTGCACTGTACTCTAGAGAAAAATATTAAAAAATTCTTGGTTTTCTGTTTACAATCTGGGGTATAGTAGTAAGATTTATGCATAAAAAAATTAGAAAAAAGTACACTGAAACAAGACAATCAAGTTTTGTTGATGGACTCAGTGCTATGTGCACTAAAATAAGAAAGATTAGTATCCTCTGGTATTTTAATACAGAAAATGTATAAAGTTCTTAACCTAGTATTAAATGTAATTCTGTACTTCATTGAGATTAGTGTAACCTGTTTTGTAGTCTCTTATTCATTTTGCAACGAAAAAGTCTTATTTTTCTAATATATAACTGATATCCATTTTCCCATAATGGTTAAATTTTGTCCAGAGGACCAGAATTTTGACCTAAATGCAAAATGTCTATATTCTGTGGATTGAAAAGTTAAATTTAATATAGAAAGTATGTTATAAGGCACAAAAGTGTTTATTTGGTTTTGCCTCATTTGCAAATCAGGAAAAATGGCTAATTTTGACAAATAGACGTGTTTAAAAATTAAAACTTCAAAAGAGGAACTCTAAAACTGAATCAGTACATCAGTGAAATGTTATAAGAGTAGGCAAGAATGTAAAATAGAGCTAGGTATCTTTATGTTAAAAATAATATTTAATTCTGAGAAATGATTACATAATATATGCTTTACTGGTTAAGGCAAAGTAAACAGCTCTGAACAGTCTGCAGCCCAGATGAGCATTTACCAATCATTTGTCTTTCCCATTTGGAGATTGTCTTTAAGATTTAAATAAGCATGAATCCCATGCCAGGAATTATGTTATCCAGTAAAGGCTATGGACAATAAAAAGGCGCTATTCTTCAAAAGTGACAATGTTATAAAACGATTTTTTTAAGCCTTTATAGATGTTCTAAATTAAAGAAGACTAAATAGACGTGACAACTAAATGCAATATCTAACTCTAGACCAGATTCTATACTAGAGAAGAAAACATGCTATTAAGGACACTGGGTCAATTGAAAAAATTAGAATATGGGGAGGGTGAGTATTGCTCAGTGGTAGAGTGCATGCTTAGCATGCATGAGGTCCTGGGTTCAATCCCCAGTACCTCCACTTAAAAAAAAATTGATAAAGTCTAATATTTGTTAATAAATTTCAAAAAACAATACATGGATGATTAGAAAATAGTATTTTATCAATGTTGAATTTACTGAAGTTTATAAATACTGTGCTTATGTAAGAATATATTCTAAGGAAATACACACTAAAGTATTTAGAAGTAAAGAACCATAACATATGCAAATTATTCTCAAATGATTCAGAAATACAAAATTACATCAAGAAAGAGAAATCAATGAAGCAAAATGTTTTAACAAATAGATAATGAGCAAAAGCATTGTTTGCATTATTCTTGCAAACTTTGAAACGTTTCCAAATAAAACATTTAAAATGTTTTATACAGGAACTGACTAAGTGTGGTACTAGGCACTTTACCTTCCTTACTCTCATTGCAACTCTGAAGAGTAGACAGTATTTCAATGGTACAGAAGAGGAAACTGACTAGAAACATTCATGGCAGCCTATCCATATGCCTGTGGTCTATTAGGAAAAGTTAAGCATAATCAGAAATTTTTCCTATTTCCCCAGGCATACAGAAAATGGGGAAATGGAGACGACTGAGGCAGTTGGCAGAAAAGGTATAAGCCAAAAGGAAGCACCAAGGGGGCCCATTAAGTTACAGGAGGGGCTGTTAAGCAAACGGATCACACACATACAGAAATGACAGTCATGAAGCAACACATAAAGGTCCAGTGGAGGCTCAGGATATTTCTAGTGTATAGTGCCCCCTCCTCTGTCTCTACACTTGATAGCATACAAGGATTTATTTTTCCTGAGGTAAAAGACACCCTTTATCCATGTCTACAAATGCTTTTACTTTCTTCCTGCCTTAAGAAGAATCTGACTCAACCAGAGACCTACACTGGCTATTTTAAGTAAAAGGAGATTACTATAAGGGATCATATTTGGTTCATGGAACCAGAGGGCAGGAAATACAGTGTTCATGAGGTATTAAAACAAAGCCTTTGGTGTGCTCCCCTACCCTCCCCCTGCTCTATCCCTGTTTCTCATCACATGGTCTCTTTTTTTGCTTCTCTGCACCCTTGGTGGGAGGTGGTAGAGGAGGGTGTTTGTTTTTCCTGCTTTATATCACTTTCTTGTTTAAGTGCCAAATAGAATCCGACAATTACTTCCAAGTCACAATTCCAAATTCTTAAGGAATCTGATTGTCCAGGAGGAGTCTTTGCATAATCCAATCAACTATGGCCAGCAAGGGTCAGGGTCTTGGGGTACAACCTGCACAGGCCACCACAACACAGAGAATACGCCCACAGATAAGAGGTTAGAAGATTTAGTGAGGGAAATTTGGACTAAAGATGTGTAAACAGTGGATAAAGATGGCTTTAAAAGGTAGGATCTCAAAGACAGATTTTCCTGTTTACTCATATTTTTATAGATGTGTACTGCCTATTCAAACCTAAGCACCATTTTTAAATGCCACCTAGGTGGGTCGGGGAATAACAGCTCAGTGGTAGAGTGTATGCTTAGCATGCATGAGGTCCTGGGTTCAATCCCCAGTACCTCCATTAAAAAAATAAAATATGACACAAATGAACTTAAAAAAAACACCACTTTATGACAAATGTCACTCACTATTACTTATGTTATCCTAGCTTTTGTCCTTGTCCCCTGTGCCTACTTCTTTGTCCTGATTCATGCATATTCTCTGTGCTTCATCAAGGTGTCCATCCAAGTCACAAGAGTATAATAAATGCCACCCATCATATCCTACTTAAGCAACACAATCCTGTAGCAACTTATTTCAAACACTGCCAGAGAATGCAAAAGTTAAAGGTCTTTTAAAAAACATAATTAAAGGATATTTGTCTTTCTTTGAACTTTTTCAAGGCATCTTCCTTTACTCTTGAAGAATGGTATAGGAACCCCTCCTATGTGCTCACATGTGCACCCTGTGCATTCCCAGGGAAGCAAGTACCACTCTGTGTAACTGCCTACTAACTTGTCTGGTCTCCATGAGACTCAGATCCGTTAAGATAATAACTGCTGTCTTACTCATCATGGTATTCTCAGTTGCCAATTCAACGCCTGAAACAAAACTGGTGCTCAATATTCATTACATGAATGGAAGAGTGTGTACATTTCTATTTTGGGTTTGTCATCCTGTAATGGCACTCACAAAGTATGTGTGCTGTTTCATGTGTATGATTTAGTGGTGTTTTTTTTTCCTTATTCTTTAAAGGATCAGTTTTTAAAATGTATTAGAAAGGAATTGAGTAAAATTTACCAAGTAATTTAAGGAAAAATCATCCTTCAGCATAATAAAAATTAACTGCTATATTCCAGCAGTTGAAAGAGTACATTTCCCTTTTGGGCCCATAAACTGCAATCTAATAACTCTGACAATAAGCAGATGACATTTACTGAGGTTAGTGGTTTGTAACAAACAAGTTAAATATCACTTTTTCTAAAGAAAAGGACAAAATTCTAGCAGGTTTTTTTTGGTCATGATACTTGGCTTAAGTTATCTCATATAATGTTGCAACTGTTCAGATTTTGCTATTTAATAAATTCCAATATTCTCATTTTTCTGATGGAAGCAAAAACTTGAAAATTGGTTCATGTTCTGATTTCATGCAGTGGGGTGAACCTGTGTCTCTAGGTTTGTGCCAGGATGTGATTTAAATGCATTCCTATAGCAAATCTTCATCCACCTCCTTAAATCTTATAATCCCATGAAACGAGAAGACTAAGTCTCTTCCCATCTGCTCTTCTTTATTTCTATTCTCCTGCTCATTATATATGTATTTAAAATAAAGATAAGGCAAGGACCAGTGCTACTTCAGAACAATCCATTAAAATTTTTTCCCCAAATGATAAATAACTTTGCATTCTCCTAAATTCAAAGATGATACATATTTTAAAAGAATATTCAAGCATTAAAAAAACACTATAAAAAAGTAAAGATTAACCCAAATCCTACCACCCAGTGGTAGCCACTATTAATATTCTGGTGAACTCTCTTCCAGACATAATTTTATGCTTACATATGCACACACATGCACACATTCATACTTACACATTTTTATATAAATGACAGCATACACATATACAGACATGCACATATGGTTTCCTCCACAACGGTTTTCCTCCTCCTACGTAAAAAATGT